GGNGNGNNNGNGNGNNNGNGNGGNGNGNNGNGNGNGNGNGNGNGNGNGNGNGNGNGCGGGGGGGGGGGAGTGCGGAAAGAGTCTGGAGGCGGCGGCGTTTCGCGGGCCCGGGGGTGGCAGGATGAGCTGAAAAAAAGAGCGCGCTGCGGGCGTGGCGCTGAGACTGGAGATCAGTGGGCTGCGCACCCAGGTGGGGGTTCTGGAAGAGACGCTCCGCACGGTGGAAAAGGAGCGCGACCGGGGGGTGGCGGAAAGCAGCGAGAGAGAGCGGGCGTGGCGGGAGGGAAATGCGAAACGGCAGGAGAGGATGAAGGAACTAGAGCGGGAGTTGGCCGAAGCGCAGGAGGAGATACAAGCCGGCGAGGGGAAGCTTTTGGCGAGTGCGAGGAAGGAGTCGCAGATGCGGGTGGAGTTACGGGAGGCGCGCGAGAGACACGCTGAGCTGGCGACACGTGTCGAGGGCTTGGAGTTTCAACTGAAGGCGTCGAAGGTCGATGAGGGGAGGGCGGCGGTGCGCGCAGAGAAGGCGCTCAAGGAACTCGAGAGGGAGAGGCGCCACGTGGCAGAGCTGACGTCACGGCTGACGTCAGCGGGCGAGGAGCGGGAAGCTTACCATATGGTGAAGGTGGACATGTTGGCGGAGATCGAGAACGGAAAAGCGAGGGTCGGGGAACTAGAGCGGGAATTCAAAGCGGCGCGGGCTGCCGCAGAGGAAGCTGAAGAAAGGCTGGGTGCTGACGTCAGGGAAAGAGAAGCGAAGATCGAACGGCTGCGGGGTTCTGACACGTCGCTAAAAGCAGAGCTTGCAGCGACGGTCTTGGCGCACCAAGAAGGGGAGAGAGAAGCCGAAATGTTGAGGAAATCGGTCACGGAGGCCAGAGGAGAGGTCGAGCGGTTGACTGCGGTTCTGGGTGAGAGCGAAGCGAGAACCGCGGCATTGGAAGAAAGTGAAAAGGTGCTACGAGAGCGGGTTCTCGTCGCCGAAGAAGACCTGGAAGGTGGGCGATTAAGGGAGGAGGGCCTGACAGAACAGGTTTTCGAGTTGGAAACGAAGGCACGAGAATCAGAGCAGGCGGAGAAAGGAGCGCTGGAAGAGTTGGCGGCAGCCGAGAACGAGAAGGAGCGGTTGAAAGGAGTGATACAAGGGCTCGAAAAGGAGATGGAAGAAACGAAGGGCGAACTTGAACGCTTGAGATGGTCCGAGGAAGAGGCGCGGAGTCTGCTGGAGATGGGGGGCGCAGCGCAGATCGAAACGGCGGAACGGGCGAACGCCGCCGAGGCAAGAACGGCCGCACTGGCAGAGCGGCTGCGGGGGTGTGAATCGGCTCGGGCGGAGTGTGAAACGGCACGAGGGGAGTTGGAAGCAACAGTGGAGGTGATGGAACTAGAGCGGGGGGCGAAAGTTGCCGAGAACGAGGAGCGCGTGGCGATGCTGATCGGACGGGTGGAGGAAGTGGAAGGGACGCTGTCCGAATGTCGGGAGAGTTTGCGGGCGTCCGGTGAGGAGAAGACGGCTTTGGAGGAGCACTCCCGCGGGCTGACGGAACGACTGGCGGAGACGCGGGCGGAATTCGAGCGGCTGGTGGGCGAGGTCGAGCGGAAACGGAACGAGGACGCGGAATCGATGCGTGCCGCGCTGGCGTCAGCCGAAGCGCGGGCGGAGGTCGCTGAGGAAGAGGTGGCGAGGTTAGGCGCGAGGGTTAGGGTTTTGGAGGCGGGTTTGGCGCAGGCGAACGAGGCCCTTCTGCGAAGCGGGGAAGAGGCGGGGGTTTTGGAGGAGGAGGTTCTGGGGCTGCGGAGTGAGGTGGAAAAGTTGGCGGGTGGTTTGGCGCGGGAGCGGAAAGAGTGCGAGGCGCTGAGAACTAGAGTGGGAGACTTGGAGCAGGAGTTGCTGGAACGGGAGGGCCAGCTGAGCATTCTGCGCAGCCAGGGGGACGCGGACTATTACATAACGCCGCACAAGGAGCGGCGCGGGGGGCGGTTCTAGACTGTCAAACCGCGTCCATTACATAACGCCGCACAAGGAGCGGCGCGGGGGGCAGTTCTAGACTGTCAAAGTTTCGGTGCGCTTCCTTGATTGTAAAAAGACCGGGGGAGGAAGCGTGGGGCCTTTTTGGGGCTAAAGAGACCGGGTGAAGGAGCGTTGAAGTTTTTCGTAGAGGGGAACGAAGCAATGGGTGGGGTTTTGCACGCTGCTGGTGGCGAAGTACAAGGGGACTGCTTACAGGTCAGCCAGAAGGACAGGTAGATCTGCTTTTCAGGTTGCATAACGTCTGCAATAATCAACATTTAAACCTGTGTTGTGCGCGGACGTGAAGTATTCTTGGGATTGTTGTGGGGCTGTGATGCGGAGCATGTGCGGCTCCTGTAGATAAGTTGCTTGTCGAACTAATTAAGCGCTGGACGGAAGGTTCTGAACGGTTTTCAGCTCATAAGAGGCTACTCGTTCGCGAACTGGATAATTGACCCCCTGCAATTTCCTCGATGTCACCCGGGTTCTTTCGCATCCAATCCTAGCATACACGTGCGACCGTCGTCGAGTGCATTGCCCAACTGCTCGATGACGAATGCGTATCCACCGCATGTACGTTGCCTCCTATTCTCACTATTCTCACTCTGATTCCGCATTCAACGTTACTGTTCCATGCAATCATTTCCAGATGAATCATGTTATACATCATGTTTGTCATGTGGCCTGGCGCAGTCAACCCTCGTCCCGGTGGCCTTCTGCTGTATACATATACCACCATGGCAGCTTCCAATGACAAATCCTTAAAGGTTTTTCAAGACTAGCTCCACGCACGAGGAAGCATGCCATCATGCGTACGGTATACCGGTAGGCCATAACTGCAAGTCCTGCCTGGCATGGAGTTGATTAGCTAGGCGGAGCTACTCTATCTAGCTGGCTAGAGCCTCATGTGATCAGGTTCACTTAAGTGATGTAGGCCCGCGCGGGAGGATACAATGATATTATATGTGACACATGATGTCATTCTCAGTTGAACAAGCTTTTTTCTTTGGAAGTCAAATCTTAGGAGCTAATGTTTAAATGTATTTCATGTACGCAATGTGCCAGTGCAACTAATTGCACAATTAGAAACACAGACGCCGGGGCTCAGACATCAACGTGCATAATTGACGGGCGCAATTTTGATCGGACGCGTCAATTGCTCGCGGGCCCGGATCACTTGGCGCGCCCGACGCGAGTAATGAAGCTGAGAATTTCATCTGAGCCCGTATGTACTTAAAGCCAACTTACTACATGTTGCAAGCAGGCTTGCTAGCACATGATATTGAATCAATTCTAGATTTCCCACACGTCATTTTAGTGGTTCTGGCATCGTTCCAAAGTTCTTACCTATACGCCTTTACAAAGTTGCCAGTCGATCCACTCGACGGTATCCGTGAGGCATGGGCCAAGATCGACCCAATCGCTGCGCATGCTCTATAAGGATGGTCACTGCCGGGCCTGCAACCTATTCTACCTAAGAACTATTGTGGTCAAATACCCCAGACTGCCGGCCTTTCTTACGCTGTCATATTATCCCATACACCTATACTGGCCTGGTCTTCATGAGACTCAACGGCCGATTTGGCACCAATTATGTCACAACTTCTAGCTCGGTGCTAAGTATACAAGTGCACCAAACGGCCAGACGTAAGTCGCAGGGCCATTCAGAGAGAAGCCTCCAGAAAGTCTGTCGCCAGTTTGAACACGGCCTCCGGATCTTCAGAAGCTGGGTAGTGGCCTAACCCCGGCAAAACCTCGACCTTAACCACCTTGGCAGACTTCAGCTGCCGGCGATGCTCCTCGCCCTCAGCCGCCGGGTCCTTGAAATCGGGGTCTTTGGAGCCTGCAAAAAGACGTGTCAAACGTTATTGATTGTTTTATGGGGCCTCCTTCATTGACAGCGTCCTCTGGGAAAGTGACCGTCTTTATTTGTCCAAAACGATGACTCCTGTTTTTCAGGAGAGGGCTACAAGAGAGTGATTGCTAAGTGCCGAAGCCAGTTGGAATCAGGGCTTCTTACAATCAACGCCTAGCTGTTCTAGCCATAGTCTGCAGTCGTTCGAGTTTTTATGTTGTTTCGAGAGGAACCATAATCGTCTCAAACAAGTATGTTATGGATCCAAACGTCCAAAAGCAGGATACTTGCAGTGCGGTTGATTTCATACCGCAGCGGCAAAGCTTTATCTCCTTCAAAATGGAAATCATGAATGTGCAACTCGAACGTCTCGGCTTCAAGTTCTAATCGAGTTGACAGTAATCTTCTAATCGAGGCGAGACAGAAGCAGCACACATCGGAAGAGGTGGGTCTTCAGTATTGAAGACCCGATGATGCAGGAATACTGGGCCTTGAGTAACCAAAAGCGCTCAAAAGCCTTCAACGGCTTCAGCGTACAGCTTGCAAGCTTCTCTCTGCTAGTAAGTTAGGGGCTTTCATCGCCTACCAACCAAAGGTGAATTTTAACAATCGCCAAGAACGGAGTATCAGCCTATTGGCATTCTGGGCCTCATATTTTCAAGCAGCACGGCTGAAGATTCTGAATGGGGCTTTCCGACAAAGTTGAGCGAACCGCATAAGCCAGGAGAATCCAAACACATCCCTTGACCCGTAACCAAGCCCAAACACAGCCCATGAATCATGTGGAAGTTTCAACAGCCCTTGAGGACCGAGATTTGAACAGCGACCAATGAAACCAGTATGCCAGGGTAGAAGCATCCCATGAGCCTGTTGTCATCTCGAAACACAAATAACGAACCAGTATCCGCACTTAAAAGAGCCCACGACCCAGTATTTTGAAAGTTTAACATCTCCCGTCAACTAGGAAAAAGAAGCCGAAGACAGCGATTAAACGAAGAGGAGACCCCAAATTCCAGCCGGTCTCGCTCACCAAACACGAGCAGAACCGGGCACTTGACGTCCCCCGCAACATCCCAGCACGGCTTCTTGGGCCCCCGGATCATGCCGCCGATCGCCGCCAGGTGTCCCTCGCTCCTCGTGGCCGCGTTCATCGCCTTCGTATAATCATCGAAGTCGGCGGGCTTCTTGACCGTGAGCGTTTTCCAGAAGGAGACCCACGCGGCCGCGCCCCACGGACGGGCGAAGAGCACGTGGCTCACGGGGCCGAGCCAGCCGCTGCCGGGGGGGTCGCGCAGGAAGGGGCCCGTCTGCAAAGAAAGGGGGGGGAGGAGGAGGTAAGTAACTTGTTTCGATTCGGGGGGGTGACGCAAGAAGGGCTGCAGAAAGAAGCGGGGGAAAAAATGGGAGGCCGGTTAGCTCTTCTGCTTCCAGGGGGTTTGCACAAGAAGGGGCCGCTTTGCAAGGGAAGAAGGGGGACAACGGGGGGTGAGTGAGTCGCCCCGATTTAGGGGGGGTCCATGGGAGGAAGGGGTCGGTCTGCAGGGAAGGGGAGAAGTAAAATCGGAAATAAAGTGAGTCTTTCTGCAGAAGCGGAATCAATAGGGCCGGTCGGACAGAACACTGAGGAAGGAAACGGGGAGTCAGTGAGGCCACCACTACCGGGGGCCCTACGCTGGTCTTTTGAGGACTGGGGGAATCAAAAGACGCGCCAAATGGGTATGTCGGAGCCTTCTGAACATAGCGAAATGGCTCACACATCCTTTCCAGAGTGCACACAAGGAAAAGGTGGAGCGTGCAGCACGTTGGCAGATGCAACATCGGAAGGCGCAGGCGGGCGACAACAACTAGTGCGCACAATTTCGCTGGCCAGGCTGCTGCGGACTTTGTTTGTGAGGACCTTTTCGAATCAAGAAAAGTTCGGCGGGCGCGACATGGAGATCGTCGGACATTTGAGTCTTGAGTATGGTCCAGGAAAGCAGATTTGAACTAAGTTCACGCCATGCAGGGACAACGGCGTGCCCGAAAATCCCTTGCTCCACACAGACTGAGGCTGCTAAGAAGTATTTCAGGTGCATGAGGGCGTTTTCTGGGCCACTCCGGCGTGTTGCCGCCACAACCAATCAAATTCCATGAGGAATCAGCTTGACTGTGGAAGAATCGAACGGTGGCAATCACGGAAGGGAGTCTCGCACGAAGACTTTAAGAACCAGAGAATCGACGTCTGTGCGCATCAGATATGTAGATTCTCAGTCCGTTCTGAAAGATCTAAGGTACTGAGGTCTACAACAACGCTCTTCAGTATTTCAACTCGATACAATTAGACAAAGCACATATGCGAACCAACAACGTTTGGAAGAGGGCTAGGAAAAAGAGCACCGCTCACCCCAATCAGAGCAGCGACCCTCTCGGGGTGCTTGGCAGCCACGTACGCACTAGAGGAGGCAGACAGCGAATTGCTGACGATGACTGCTGGTTGATTCACCTTGAAATGGTCCAAGACAGCCACCGCATCGTTTGCCACATCCACAGGCCTGCGGTAGATTGTAAAGTTATTGGGTGGACAGCTGGCGGTTATGGCAACGTCGTCCATTTTATAAGATGATCACAGGCACAAATCTGCGGAAGAGCTTTGAGAAAGAGTTTACATCTGGTGCAAAGGAGGTTGTTCAGCTTGTAGAGACTACCTTCGCAGTGTTGAGTCTGCAGAGTTGTTGAGAAGCTCAAGACATTGTCCGTTACACAGCAACCGCTCGGTGCAAGCACTTGCATGTGCAGATTCCGCCCTAATCCTGCACAAAAGACAGCCCCTATGAAGAACTTCAAGAACTGTTTCTTTACCCACTCTGGAAAATGACTTGGCCACATTCGTTCCCCTACTCCAACAAATTTTGTCAGCGGGGACTCACGTGTAGGATGGGAAGTTTGTCGTTGACTCTCCGCACCCCCTCAGGTCTGCCAAGAGGACTCTGTGCCCTCTTGAGTGGAACTTTGGCGCGAGGAAGCGGTAAGTCTGACGGAAGTCTCCCAGGCCGTGGAGGAAGAGCAGAGTGGGCAATGCAGAGTCTGGCGGTCCGCTGTCTTCCACTGCAACTCTCCCCTGTGTTCCTTGGATTGGCACATGGGTCAATTGGCCCTGGGGAAACACTGGGGGGAGGGGGAAGGAGGTAGCCATTAGGCAATGCTGAGGCGAGAGTAGTTGCGCGGGTTGGGGTTGGCCAGTCCAAATGCTGATCTTTTCTTCCTGTGGCTGACAGCGCAGAAAGAAGAGGGCTGCTGCACGATTAGATGTTTAACGGAGATCAAAGGTGTAAGAGGGCGTTCTGCATTTAGCGGTCCCGCAAATGCGATGAGAGCTGCGGGGGCTGAGTTGTGAAATCAGCAATACGAAGTGCTTGTCAAAAGAAGCCCAAAGTACCTTTAGAAAGCTGCATTTGCGGATTCCAAAGAAGCTAGCTGGAAGAAACAACGGCTTCAGGTAGCCAACGGCTTCCGGTAGCCAAGGGCGATCTTGACTCTTGAGCAAAGCTTAGCTGCCATAGAGACCAGATTGTGGAGAAAGAAGGGCGCCTCGTTCATTTATGACGCCCTCTGAAGCTTCCATATGCTTGATGACAAGCTTCCTGAGTGCTGCGGCACTACGTCAGCAAGACGCTCGGTCCATCAGGGTTTGGTTGAGTGGATCCGAACCGTAGATATGCAAGAAACAGCTTATCGGACGGCGTCGAGTTGCTTACGTGGAGAGACACAGGAATCACATGGTTTGGCTTTGGCCCTGACTCCTGAGGCTGCGGTTTACAACTGAAATTCAGTGAATGTGCGTGGTCAGTGTTCCTGCATGTTGCATGTTGTGATCATTTGGTCCCTCCTTTCTGCAGGTTCCTAAATCAATTATAATGCGATTGAGAGAGCTGTCAAGAGTCTCCTGGCCTCTACCAGCTGCCACTCAGTTGTCTGATGGGCGCAGTAAGTGTGTTTCAACAAGACCATGTTTAGCCAGCTGGGCTGATCCACTCCGCAAAGCGAAGTGCTGATTGAGCGCCGCCGTTGCGAGTCTCAGAGAAACTTTTGCTGCTTCTCTCGTCCCACCAGCAATTCCCAAGCAGCATTGCTCGTGCGCTGAGAAAGTCAGTGAGTTTAGTCGCATACCACCACTTGGGCTCCTGTGGCGTTCGTTCTGGAGCCGTCATAGGGATGTGAAGTCTACTAAATAACCGCTGGAGAAAACGCTTGGATACACAGTGACATAGGAATAAGTAACCTTCAGGAAGTCTGTGAAGGAGTATGGGGCCACTTTTGACACAAGGCGCTTGACTGAGACATGGCGGCACTTTTCATGGCGGCTTGCAAGCCTGTGCGGTTGGCAAAGATCTTAGACCTCCGGCATTGGAAATCGATATCCCTCCCCACGCTTGGCTCCAGAAAGAGGTGCGTCGCTCCAGATTGCTCCAGCAGTTGACTAGAATCTGAGTCTATCTAAGCAGAGCCATCCTAAGCTGGCTCTCAGGAGTATTTCAGAGCCGCAACCAAGCGTCTTCAAGACAAAGGAGGCAAAGATTGGGTTGAAGGAAACCAAACTGCATTGGCGTCATAAAGAGAAACTTGTACAGACCAGCCAAAAATGCATCTCTGTGGGAACACGGGTCATCTCCTGCCTACTTACCAAGTTATGGCTCCGGCGGTGTTGGTGCGCCAGACCAGCCTGCCCTTCCTTGCAAAGATAACGCTTCACATCCTAACCCACTTGGTAGATGCACTACCTTCACATATCTGATCGTAGAAATGCATCTCTGAAGTGGAAGCCCTTTTCAGCAGTCTCAAAGTTGCATCAATTGTTTTCTCATGTGCAAGCTTGGCAAGGGGGCAACTTGACCTACTATGCGTTGAGCACACGGCAGGGGTCCTTGACAGCTGAGGATCAGGCTGCACTCAGAGTGGTGGCTTACGGTACAATGTCTTGTCTGAGAGCCGAGCGGTGCTTTGTTGCCCTGCACAAGACATTCACGTGTTCCTCACCCGTTCGCCGCTCCATATAGAGAGTCCCTCTTGAGTTGAGCTGAGATTGAGCACGTACCACCACTCAGATTGCAGCGCAAGATCAAAAGATGCATGGCATACTGCCAATACAAGCTGGATTGGAACACTCACCTGCTTCCAACTTCTATTCATGGCTGCAGTCTGCCCACAGGGCCAGACAATCAGAGTCAGCCGCTTCACCCCTCATCTCTCTTTAGTGGCCATGAAAACACCAGGTCTGTACACACGCAGTGCGGAAAGCAGAGTCTAGCCCGCACTTTTCCCTTGCAATGGGCCCACTTGCTGGTAAGCAGCCCCTATGCGGGCGACATCTGATTGGCTCATGGTCTCAGAGACTGTCAATATTATCCGTTAGCCTGTCAGACACAACGATGCCTTGATGCCAAGTCGTTTCTTATCGTCTTAGAATAGCAGCACTGACCGAAAAGCCTACTCTGCGAAAGTGGAAGGTGAACCCGTTTGGCGACTCTTCATTCCTTCTCTTCCTTACTGGAGCTCCAAGCCCCTGAAACTGGACGTTCTTATCTCTTCCTTCAGCCTGTTCTGGTCTTGCTCGTTGGCTTCGAATTGAGAAGTCTTCAAGACTAGCTTCCGAGGGTTTGCCCCCCCAAGGTCACTGCCTCACATCAGTACTTTCCCCACTCCTGCAGCGTCCTTCCGCGGCAGTGCCGTCATGCTTTGCGCACCGAACAGCGGTCGAAAGACCTCAGGTCCGGTGGAAGCATGGGGGGGGCATGGCTGGCGGTGAGCAAATGTAAGCTATGCATGTGTTAAATTGACTTGTCTTCAACCCAGAGGATTTTAGCATCTCAAGGCATGACTCATAAATGCAAGCTTTCCCAACAAACCATGCATCGCTGATCAAAGTCATTTGTTAGTTGATGCTTGGCTACTTCAGAGTTCAAGGCTCAACCTTGGATTTTCAGATCACGCACGATGTAAGTTCACAATGAGCTGCCACCTTCTTACCCCTTTCTGGTTCGTGCTTCCTTGACTGGCTACCCTTCATCATCTCAGAACATACCCAGTGTCCTTTGAAGCCCTTGCGAAGTTGTCGCAGGCGCGAGGTGCTCTCAGACTTTGCAGCATTTGAAGGGACAGGAGCAACCTGTCTTCATGGCACCGTCTCTGTCTCCAACATGGAAGCCGCCCCGAATATTTCTTTGCCAGGGCTGCTTCCCATGCTGCCTTCGCTTTTTTGCTCTAGGCAACTTATCAACACACACGAAACGCCGGGCTGTCGCCTTTTTGCCGGGCATTCCATTTTACAATCCTCTTCTATCACCACATATCCGCTTAAATTGCACCGTTCGCCGTTTTACTTTCAACCTAGGGCGGCTTCGTAATGTAATTCGCTGTCTATGCACCCCTTCCCAGCTGCAAAGTGTTGTCACCCCTTTCCGTCCTAGTCTTCAACCGAAGCCTCCAGCTCTCTTCGCCTTGCCGTGCATTTTCGTTACCCTCCCGACTTTCCTGGTGCGAGTCTCTTGCCGCTCGCTTTCTCGAACGAAGGTGGCTTCTCTAAGAAGAGAAAACATCGTCGGCGGCAGATCTCACGCCAACAGGTTCCGCTATAAGCGTGGAACAACTTCACCTTCTTGCTAGCAGGCTCCGCGACATGGTTCCGCTTTGAGATTTGCCTTTACCGTACGCTGACAAGGACCACTTCGAAGCGCCTTTTTCCGTGCATCTTCCCATCATCTTCGACCAAGATTTTGTCAATAGCACCGCCCGTGTGAGCGTAACCCCCGTCTTTGTTAAACGAAGTTTTCCCAGAATTCGCCCCTTTCGTTTCTTTAGAAAGTCTTTGCTTTACAAGAGTCTGCTGCATGGCACCGTCTTCTCGAACGTGTCTCCCGTCTTCGCTTTCAAACCTCACGAAAATCTCCTTTCTATCCATCTCTTTGGCGCGCTACATTTTAAAGAGTCTGCTGAATGGCGCCAATCTTTCAAAACGTATCTTCCGCCTTTGCCCGTCAAACGCAATCAAAGTTTCTTCTTTTCTGTCTTCCTGCTGAAAGGTTTTGTTTGTCTTGGTTACCACGGCGTTCTCGGCACCATTTTTCGAACCGAAATTCCCGCCTTCGCCCTTCAACCTCCTAACTTGTTCCCGAATCCTGCCGTCTCTCGAGGCGCAACACCATCCTGTCAAAAGGCCTCGCTTTCCACGTGTTTTAGAGTATGCTCGGGACCAATCTCGAAATCCGTCTCCGCCGGTCAGCAATGTAAACATCGGTCCGCTGTTCCCGTCTCTCCAGGCGCGACACGATCCTGCTGACAGGCCTTGTTTTGTTCTGTCACCCTCTCTAAGCATTTCAGCATTTCTTGTCTCTCCAGCCGCGATACAACCAGCTGAAAGGCCTTGTTTTCCTCAGCTACCAGGATGTGCTTGGACCAATCCCTTGACTTGAAACCCCGTCTCCGCCCGTCAACAAAATTAAGATGTCATCAACATTCCTAACTTCGGTCTACCGTTCCCGTCTCCTTAGGCGCGTCACGATCCTGCTGAAAGGCCTTGTTTTCCACGGCTACCACGGCGCGCTCTCGGATGACTCTCCCATCTCCCCCAATCAAACCCCCTCAACTTTTGTTGTTATCGTTTTTTCAGGCGCGACACAATCCTGCTGAAAGGCCTTGTATTCCACGGCGCTCTGGCACAAGTTGCTTCCCGGTAGTGTCTGTCGCCGCCCGTCTCATTCCGCTGTTCTCCGTCTTTTCAGGCGCGACACGATCCTGCTGAAAGGCCTTGTTTTCCACGGGTATCACGGCGTGCTCGAGGAGGAGCGCCGGCTGGGTCAGAAGTTCGTGGTCGACATCGAGGCCTCGGCGGACCTCGCGCGCGCGGGCCGGACGGACGACCTGGCTGACACAGTCAACTACGCGGCAGTCTACCAGTGAGTCGAAGCCCATCATCAGTATAACTTCGGACGTCTGAGTTCAACGATTTGAGCTCCACCACCACCACCACCACCACCCAACCTATAAAACCGGGCAATTTCGATGCTGACGTGGCATAACTTGCCAACGGTCATCGAGATCGGGCAATTCAAACGGTGACTCATGGGGCGCATGTTTTTGAACACTCAAAGTGGCGTCTTTTCCCGGCGATAGCTGCATCAAACCTTCACCAAATCCGACGGTGTCAAGCTTGCTCGCCTGGAACAGGCCCCGTTGAGACGCGCTCCCTTTCCCGGCTCTTCAAACGGCCAAAAACAAGGCCTGTAGGCCCTGAAAAGCTGTCCTCAGCTTATAGGAGCTATTCTTGAGGGTTTTTAGGGCTGAAAAGTATGGCGCCTTCCTACAAGGCCCCTTTGTAGCGACCGAGCTTGGCACGACCTCCGGAAAACATGATCGAAGCGTGCTCTAAGCATGCAAAGAGCCCATTTGCGGGTGTCAAAAATGTGGCGCCCCATAAGGAAACTTGAACTCCGGTCGAGAAGTTCAAATTATGAAAACGGCCAGCACTGCTGGCGCATATGTACCGGTCGGGTGGTGGTTTAAGGCAGATTGCTTATGAGATTCCGGACGTCCGAGTCGGACATCGGTGTCGTGGGATGTCTGGCGCCGCCTGAATAGGTACGACGGACGCTGTGACCAAACAAGTGAATCTAAGTGGAGTCTTTGTGTAACTTCGGACGTCCAAATTTTGACCGATTGGCAGCGTTCGTTTTCATCCACCTTGGGAGGTTTTACCTGAGCAACTAAGATGGACGACCTTGGAGACGGTTACTTCACCAGTCTGTCGGCGAGTCTGTCCTTTCTTTGTACTTTCCGACGCCCATGTCTACCCTTCTTGGCCGTTTTCTGATGTCTAAATATGTGGCCATTTTGTGATGTCTCACTATATTCTGAGTGTCGATTTGGAAAAACAAGCGAGGACCGTCCTTCATGCGGCGATCTACCACGGTGGGTCTTTGTACATTATCAGAGGGGGTGATACCTTACTGAAAGCGTCCGGTTAGCTTCGTAGAGCTCGCCTGTAAGTTGGCACTTTGAGAAACGCTAGTTGAATTGGTCTCAGGATTGCCCCTGTTGGAGTCGTCCGAGCCGTTTTTCGGGCGTCCACTATCGTTCAAATCTAATACAGCGCTTATATGGATGCTGCTCGTAGACTTGACGGCATTGAAGATCCCGTTAGTTATGCCGTAAGCTACCGGTAGGTTTGGCCATTTGTTTCTGCATGTTTTCCGGTGCTTGCACTCCATTCTGACATATTTCCGGGAATCAGAAAGAACCCCTTGCCCAGGTTTGGACGTCCGAAAGGGCATCAATGCCATTTCTGTTTTCCTCGGATGCAAACTTACAGGTCACTTTTCTGCTTTTGTGCTGGCTCCCGCCCTCTTGACCGACCCGCGTTGCTTGCCCTGACCATCAGGGACGTGAGGGATATCGTGGAGGGGCCGCCCCGGTTGCTTCTCGAGACCGTAGCGCAGAGCATTGCTGACGTCATCCTAGGAAGGTATTCGAAGGTCGACGACTTGACAATCACCGTAAAAAAGCCCCACGTGGCTATTCACGGCACGTGCGAGTACCTTGGCATACGTATACATAGAACAAGGGTGCCGGGAGCGTAAGATACATATGAACGGGGAGAAGATCCTGAGGTGTTGAATTTGTCGTTTGCTACTCTGCAGTAGCTTGAGAGTATACAGCGCTCGGAAGTGTAACGCACACGCTTCCGACAATCGGGGGCTCTCATGGCAATAATCTGTGTAATGCCATGCATGTACCCTGCACCTCGGCTTAAGGGATAGATTTGAGCTGACCTGACACTACATTGATCTCGTTTCTGATGGGCTCGGACATCCTCAAGTACTCAATGCTTGCATACTCCAATTAGTGGAAGTTCGATGGTGCCGCTGCTCTCTGCTATGAACGTTTTGGCTGTTCAAGAAGAATCTTACAGCTTAATTACCAATATCGATCCTCCAACTTTGGAATTGGTCGTTTACTATCTTGCCCGATGTCCTATAGAGGACTCTGAGGCATTGCAAGCTACTCGAACATGTGCTCAAGTACATCAGTTACAAACATGCAAAAACTTATAATCGCGGTGAATACTCGATATGCATTTTGTTTATTGTGGCCGCTTGTTTCGACGGTTTGACCGGGACTCTGGTTTGTTTGAGTGATATTGCCACCCTCAGCAGTAAATGATGTGCGACGATCATTTTCGACTAGTATATGTCATTGTATAATAAGGATGTGAATCGTGATGCAACGTTATGGCAACGTACCTATGATGGACTGCGCACGCAACATGATAACCCTTCAGTCGTACTACCGTTACGACTGATTCAATGTGCTCGAAGTCGGATTTGGCACTACATAGTGCAAGCTAAGTTCTCGTCAATAAATGTCAGGGATGCTTACTGACATACTTACGGAAGGAGCCCTGGCTTGCATTTTGTACACAAATTGCTGGTAGGTTTAATCAAGGGCAAATACAGCAACAGGCTGGATATATTCTTTCCACTGCGCGTTTGATTTGAGATTCACTTAGATGCATTGCATGCACTTCCAAGCCTTTGGTTGTCGAAAGGGAAGAGATCTTATGTCTCCAAACATGTCTATGTATAAGACACAATAGCGTCCACAAGCAAATCGCAGCATGCTAAGCCTACAGACAATACCCTTCTAGACAAATCTACGAGGCACCGAGGTGCTTTCAGTTGCTTCTAAGCTACGTACAGGGTTTCCTAACATTTTCAAAGGCAGTGCTTTGTCTGAAAGAGTCAATTTTCTACCGTTTAAATGACATCGTAAACCCTTGACTTCGATTGGACAACAAACAAGAGATAGGCTGACCGCTGCTCAACAACCACCTGCCAAGAAGTGGGGGAAAATTTCAGCTATCGGACCACCACTCAGCATGTTAAAATTAGATTCGATGCTCAAGGTTGGGCATGACAGTTGCACTCCAATTGCTGGACTACTCCATCACGTGATGTTGGCAGAAACTGCAAAGGTGATGGTCAGCAACACTAGCGTTGTATTATCATGCTGTAGGCTCTTATATGTTGAAAAGCGAGTATCTCACCTCTTAAGCGCGCTTCAACCTTGAAGAAGCATCATCAAGACCGTCCGAGATACCTCTCTTGAAGTCCTTGCCCTTGTCTCCCTGAGAGAAAAAAGCGCAGCGTTCATGTCAGCCTGTGCCACAACTGGCTCAATGGGCATCAAATCAAGGCGCCTATTGCAGCGCTCAGATCCTGAAGAACATGTGAGAGTGCATCAAGACAGAGCCCGAGACTCTCAAAGAAGATGGATTGGACTTCACCAACAACAGATTGGTGCCATTGCCAAACTTCGATTTGCTCCTTCCAAATTTAATGATCATTTTCGACTTTTGCTCCTACAATCAATATATCAAACTCAAATAATCTAATGACTTTTAAATGCAGAAGTGGCACGTTGGACATCACTCTCTTGTCTTACCAGAGCGTCAACGGCATCTTCAGCAGCATTGCCTACATCTCTGCCAGCGCCCTCCACCTTGTCACCAGCATCTGAAATCAGATGGGCACAATTATCAGAATTCCAGAGTGTCAACAATTCGCAACTTCAATGAAAGTCAAAAAATCAGAGCATTAGACAAAGTCAGCTCGCCCATCATAGACTAGCAAAAGGACCAACCAACCAGCAACCAGATTCACATCAAAACAGTTTGTACGGCCAGGCTGCAGCAGCTGGTACCAGTCTCTGCGCTTTACCTTACAGTTGGAATATGGATTACATATCCTCTACTCGGTTGATGTGCAATGCTGATTCCGCAAGAGTGCAGCAGAACTTACACTATGGAGATGCCTACCAGAAGGTCCTTTTGAGGTCTCTTTGTTTTTCTCTCACAAGGAGTCAGGCATATAGAGAAGAAATGCTGCTTGTTGGCGAAGTAGACAAAGAGATTTCGGTTCTGAAAGCTGGGGATGCAATACTTTTAAGATGGGAGGGAACAAGCAGTGTGACAGGCAAAGGCACTTACTTCTCAGATTGGCCTTGGCACTGCCCTCCTTGCCTCTGAACAGACGGGAGATGCCTCCCAAGATGCTCGAGAAAAATCCAAGAATGCTGTTGATACTGCAGAGAAAGCGACAGATTGAATCAGGCCTGTAACAACGCAGTGCAGAGTCCTTGGCTGCTTCCTCTTCTTAGAGTCTGCTTTCAAAACTCCATTTGATTGCTGCATCCAGAACCAAACAGTCAAAGGAGCTAAATCTGAGCCAGATGCAGAACTATGACAAGACAACAGAGGTCACTGTTTCATCGTGTGGATGAGATCCTGAAACACGCTTTTTGGCTGCATTCAATGCTGCGTACAAGAGCCCATCGGTAATTGAGGTAAAATCAACAACAATCTCCAATGTGACCCAAAGCAAGTGGTTGGTAGGCTTACATGTACTTGAAGAAGTCAACAATATTTTCAAATATGTTCTTTGACTTCTTCTCTACATCCCGGGCAGCTTGCCTGCCTTCACTGCAGCACCAAAGAAAATCCAAAGTCACCATTTTGCGGATTGCTGTAGCCACATGCAGTGGGTGCTTTCCAGTGCTACAGACAAAACCGCATTTGACTGGGAGTATATTTAGGGCTACAGTACAACGATAGAACTTATGACTTCAGATAGGCTTTCATCCTGACTCTGATCAAAGCAGCTTCAATCTACCATTAAGATGTTGGTACCTAACCAGGCAAAAATCCAAGCAAAGTTTGAGCAATGCTGCTCAAAGAACATGCGGCTTATATTCTGCGCTCCAAAGAATTGACCAAGTATCTGTCAATGTCACGACTAACAATGAAAGCGTATACTGCAACAAGGATAGCAACATGATGAAATGTTCAGGTCCAGCTCGTTGTAGACATGCGCGCCCATGCCCTACCTTGCTCGTACATTGCATTGCCTTCTCCTTGGGCTAAGGGCTTTCACCAATCCCAAGGGCTCTCCCGAGAATCGGGTCCCAGCAAATGAAGAATAAGAGCCCTTATTCACAGTGCGACTCGTGTTTGTGGAGCAGAACGAGCTCCTCAAAAGAGGGTAAGACACTGTGGAGCATTGCCCCTGCCGCAAAGTGTGGTCCCGCCCTATAAGTGAACAAGTAGAGATGGAGGACCGAACAGACACTGCCTGCAAGGAAGCCATTGTACAACTCGACTTCAGTTCTAAGGAATCCTGGTTGTCAAAGTAGAAGCGCTGTTTGGTTGTGGATTGCTGAGCAAGCGTAGAGCTAAACAAAGTCTGCTTCGTGCATCGTCATTGAAAGGAGTAGGTCGCCGTCTTCCAGCGTATGCGTCATGGCCGTCAAGTGCCTATAAATTCTACAAGCTGGGCGCGAACCATCCTACGGACAGGAATGCCGCCACGAAATTGAGTACCGATCGGATGGTGCCACTTGTTCAAAATCATACATACCTTATGAACATCTCATTGGCATCTAGCATGTGCTTATGACTCTTTAGCTATGGGTGCGAACATCACGTTCTCGAAGGTTGCCACGTAGCAGAAGATGGGCTCGGAGAGGACACCTGTCATATCAAAGTGGTTCACGGGTCGGTTCAAAATGCTCGACGTCAACTGATGTTGAAGTCCCCGGTTCCATGAACCACATTCTTTTCGGAGTGAGTCGGTCAGTCTTCCTGAACAGCGACTGGGCCTGCAAGCTTTCGGCAACGTATCCGCCGGGATCAGGACGCCATCTTGAACCGATCCTTCTGATATTCCGCAGCAGCACCCGATCGCCTGCCAGCTGCCAGCGTGGCAGGATCAGGCCCGGATAAGCTATTTGTCCTCATGCATGCATCAGCCTGGGAGCATATTTGCATGACACGTGGACTGGCAGAGCTGACCAACAATGGAAACGCCCCCGCTAACCGGGCCCAACAACGTGACCTAGTCACCATTCCAAGCCGTCGATGGATTTGGCCATCTCCACGCGCGCACAAATATAAGCTGCAAAAGTAATTTCACACACAACATCTGAAGCAGAGTGCTGTTGGCATCAAGACGGAAGGTACACCGTATCCATCTGATTGTCATGCAGTCCTGCGGCCCATGCCGGCAGGCTGCAGCGTGCTACGAAGTACACTTTCCACTCTCTCCATCATCACGACCTCAGTAGATAAGTACGTTGGCGGGTACCTACCGTTTTTTTTGCGGTACCTTGCAAAATTAGCCGTTTCCTGGACACAAATTTGCGTGAAAGTTGTCAATAACCTTCTTTTAATTAGAGGGAAATTTTTGTTAAGAATGACCGGTACTCCTTAGGTTCCTACTGTCTACCGTAGTGGGTAAACGGTGAGATATGGCATAGGTTCGACCGTATAACTCCGCAAACTACTTGGTACCGTAGTAACCGTACCCTTATTAGGCACGTCTAGGTAGTAGGACCTGCCTAGTACCGTAGGTAGTATCGGTATGCAGGTACCCACTAGTTTGAGCACTGTAGGTTCATATTATGTACCTACGGTATAGGTACTCAACTTGAAGCGATCGGCAACAGGTACACCGTACGAAAGAACGCATGCCAATCTGCATGGGAGGGCTGTACCGAGCTCTAGAATTATTCACCGGGACACTTTGTCCAGCCGGTAGCTCCACACGGGCTCCGGGTCTGCCCTCGTAGGTAGGTACTGTAGCACGGTGGTTCCCGTCCTACTCAAGTTACATACCGTAGGTACATTCTCCCTGGACTCTGGAGAGGTTTGTACCGTCAAGGCACCCACCGAGCTCCGGCATCCAGTACGGTAGATAGGTACGGGTCGGTGCTGATCGGATCAAGTGAGCCGGAGCCCCCGGTTGCGCATGCACGCCTTTGTACTGCTTCCACGTGTGCTCTCGTGTTCTTTGCAAAGCAATAGTTCGTTAAACTCGGAGGCAGACATCCAATCACAGATGGCCACGCAATGCTGAGGCAGTTACGGCCCCCGCAGTGAACACGTGAACTCCATGTCGATAACACCGTAAGATTGGCTTCGTATCCAATCTGACGGTTCGGATGATTCGTCACCGATACGGTTGGAACTTTGGAAGTTGGAGCCCAACCGAAATTCAGAAAACTGTCAGTGCATCGAAACAGGTGGGGAGTTCCACGCGGGTCCCAGCCAGGTTGCGGATTTCACGTCACAGGCATTCTCGGGGATTTGAAAACTCGACCCCAAATTGCCTACGGTGCACAGGCACCCGAAGCGAACGCCTGAAAAAGCGCTTGAGATTCCCGAGGTAAAAAGCGCGTAAAATGAGACTACGGATTTTAAACGCGTGGCGTCACAGGTGATGTTGACTTTCTGAGTTCCTCCAACCGTCGAGTTCGATTTCCCGCTCGAATTGATTGGCAAGATCTTCGGAGATTGCGGAATGTCGAACGCCGCACACCTGCTGGATTATCGTCGTTCATGAACCAGACTTCAAAAACTCTGACGCGTTTCGATTCGAAACCGTCCCGGGTTTGGGCTGGTGGCTCGACACACGGGGTGATTGCCCAGCTGTACGAGGTCCGGTCCATGAAGGGGCACCCGGAGTAGGTACGCATGTACCGATGCAGTGATCATGCAGCTAGCCTCGTACCCTAGGCCCTCGGTTGTTCAGCCATCCAGACTGCATGCACTCCATTAACATTCGGGTCGGGGGGATGATCGCCTTGGTTCAATCGAGCAGTCCCCCTGCGCGCAAAAAGAGCGCCGAGGGTGCAGCATTCGAGAACAACTTGGAAGGCTACGACACTTCGCAGCTCGTTCAGATCAAAGGTTTCCTTGTCAAAACTTTGCGGTGGTGCTGCGTTGTCTAGCAGAGACGGAGGGAACAAGTGACAGCATTGCAGCAAAGCGCTTCACAAGTTGTTGGAAGTGAGTCAGCTGGTAGTGTGCGAGTTGCGGTAAAGGTCGAGTTGCACGGTGTTTGGGGCGGCGCCAGACAGCATTGGTCTGGTTGAGCTCATTGAGCTCATTGTTGACTTTCACAGGTGAGGACCAATGCTAGTGGGAGCTCTGCCGTGCATTTGCAGGTGTGAGCAAGGAAGGTGCTCGCCCATTATGGTGTGATGATCCCCTTGTCTTACCTCTGACTTTCTTGCAACTTTCTGAGAAGGGTGTGGATCAAGATCCATGAGAGGATGCTTCGAGTTGCTTGGCATATCTGACTATATCGATCTAGTTTCTCAACACCAGAATGCATTTGTGTGCAGTGGTGTCTTGGCCTCTCTTCAAGCTGGCGGTTCCACATTCTGATCTTTGTTCAGCGGGCTCTGCACCCCACAAAATGGTGAGCTACAGCATTTGACTTGTCAGTATCAGCACCGCTTCCACATGGAAGTTGTTAAGATTTCAGACCGCTTTGACATGTGGACTCTGGGCTCTCGCAGCTAGGTAAATAATGCTAGCTGTGTCTGGGGATATTGCTAAGATAGTACTGATTGGCATTGCCTGTATTCTACCACCTCTCTGCACCAACCAGATTGGGTGCATATCTTCTTGAGCTCAACTTGCACAAGTAGACTTGTTCAGTACAAGCTGCATGAGGGAAATGCTGCATGATTGAGGAAGCCAAGCAGAAAACAAGTTGCTACTCAACTGCTTGAGTGGTTGCAGCGCTCTAAATGAAAGCACTGCTGTACTTTGCAGGTTGGAAAATGTCCACCAACAATTCCAACCTTGGGCTCGAAGACAGGCCCAGATTGGCTGGAGCCCCTCATCACTACAAGTTACTTTGGCCCATGCGAGTTGCATACCGCAGAATCGTGCTCAGCTGCGTCGCACAAGAACGAATGTAACATGTTTTGCATGGAGTGCGCGTCGGTGGGGGAGCGGTACAGTCTGTGCACTCTCTGTGTTGCGGAGCATCCCAGCCACAACATTATCCAGGTTAGTGCAATCATCCATGCCCGCCTTTCAATGAAAGTCGGATTAGTCCCTTAAAATCAGGAATAGAAAATGGAGTCAGACATGCTTTGGAGCTGCAGTTGGTGGCCTTCACAAGAACGTAGCTCAAGTGCCTGAAGTTCAGCTGATTATGCTATGAAGCTGGACTGGTCAGTGTCCACAATTCAGGGTCGGGCTATTTCTGCAACGAGAATGACAATGCTGAAAATGCTGGCCAGCAGCTGACATTGTGCTGAGCTCGCTCTCGTGTTCCCTGCTCCAGCTGAACCCCCCTTGTCCCCGGTGCAGATACGGCGCTCCTCCTACCATGACTGCATCAGGGTAAATGAAATTCAGCGGCTGGTTGACTTGTACAACATCCAGACGTACATCATCAACGGCAACAAGATTGTCTTCCTGGCTGACAGGCCGCAGCTCAAGTCCACCAAGGGTCAAATACATTTGTGCGAGATCTGCGACCGTGTCTTGAACGACCCCATGCGTTTCTGCTCCCTGGGTTGCAAGGTAAGCACAATTGGACAGGCGATTGAGCTGACTTGATTGCCTGCTGGCCTTGCATTGATTGGCCAGACTTGCATGAGCTCATTGGGGAGTTGCATGAGCTCACTGGGGACTTGCATAAGCTCACTCAGGACTCGCCTAAGCTCAATCAGCTCCCACTCACAAGTGCAGCTTACAGCTGTAGACCTTCAGTTGCAATTACTGTCAGCTGGCAGCTCCCTCTGGTTTTAGGCATGCAGGCTGCAATGCAGCTCAAGGCGTATCCTTAAGCTCTACTCTGCAAGGGCATGCATTGCCACATTGCTTCAGAAGGCGCCTCTGACGCATACACCCACAACAGGACTCTGTCCCCACCTGTCATCTCTGTCAGCTCACTCCCAGCTCCCCATCTTTTATATGACTGACCCCCCCCTCTGGCCCCTCCTCTGCAGCTTGCCGGCATTGAGAAGGATCCTGAGGATGACACGCTGTCAATGTGCCCCCGCTACCAGCCCGGCCTCCTCCCTGCTGACTCGGAAGACTCCCAGGGCTCGCGCAAGAAGTACGCCCTTGACAAGCAGCTCAAGCGCCAGCTCAGCACTCTCAGCCGCCAGAGCTCCCCTCCCCTGCCAGCGCTGCGCGAGGTCGGCGCCCCCAACTCGGACAACGAGTCGCCCTACCGGCCGTTCAAGAGCTACCGGAAGGTCCTCAGCGCGAGCGAGGAACGGCGGCTCGACGAGAGCGCAAATCCGTTCCGGAGCCAGCATCAGGAGCTCGTAAAGCAGCTCAGCGAGGCGTTTAATGCGGGGGGATTCCTGAAGAAGAAGCGGAGGGCTGCGGCCCAGCTGTCGCGGGCCCCCTCGCCAGTGCGGTTGGCGACGCCCAGCAGCAGCACCTCGTTGACGCCTCCCTCGACGCCGCCGTCGTGTGCGCAGTCGTACCGGGCATCTTTTGGGAACAAGCGGAGGAAAGGGATCCCCCACAGGGCGCCGGTCTGCTAGGTGGCTGGGTCGCTGCCCTCCCCCGCTTGTGTGGACCAACATTCTTGAGACTAGCAGCTGGCAGTGATCAAGTCGTTCAATTTCGCACATATGGCAGGGCTCGTTGCGACGGGTATCCTATTTATCAATGGTTCACTTCCTAGACAACTGTAGATATGCCACCCTAGGTCGTTCGCCAGCGTTTGCGTGTGCTTGCCAGGTATATACCTAGAAGGACGTTTACTGAATCTGATCCGAGTATGTACATTACAATGTCCCTTGCTTTACGTAGCACTAGCTAAAATAGCTTGTGGACCTACGAACTTTACCGAGCCCTAATAAGTCAAAAGTGTTTGGAGTTCTTTACTGAGTTGGGTTGACTCACATTGGTTCCGCCAACTGATCCTCATCTTCAGATCGTTGAGAGTATCTGAGTGTCACTCGCTGTTCTCATGGTGCAAGTTGACAAATGTCGTGCTTTTCATTTCAGCCGCCACTGTTCACATGTCAGAATGCATGCAGTGGTTGAAAAGCTGCGTCCATCATATCTCAGCCAACATTGGCATGAGAGCATGGCAGATCATGATGAATTTACTGCCACAGCGCTACTATTTGGGTCACATGCATGCATCATGTGCTTTTCAGCAGCCAGCTGCCTACTAGAAGTTCCTGCGCATGTGGGCATATCGAGCCTGCGGCGCTGCACTAGCTGTCAAGTTGTATATGCTTCCGACGATACTATTGTAGTCCTGCCAACTCTTTTCAGTCCGATCACAGTCGACTCGTACACTCAGGTGTCCGTTTTTGCAGGCATAGAAACATCGCCTCTCCGCAAGCAGGGAGCATGCCTCATGAGGTTATGCATGTACGATTGATCAGAACAGTGATACTTAGATAAGGCTTGAAACAGCATGTGGTTTGCAAGAATTAAGACACATCATGTGTTTTCGCGGAGTCACTTCGTTATCCCAATGGTTCGTGAGACTGCTATATCTGTACACGTCATCCGACCTCAAACTAGGACTCAACCTCGAACTGCCGCACTGTCGAGTCTTTGCCTTGCGCGGGCCGCTGCCCCTCCCCGTCGTACTCGAAAGCGAGCGTAAAGATTTCACTGTAGTGCTTGACAAAGTGCACGTCGAGGCCCTCTTTCACGTGCGTCGGCAGCTCGTCGTAGTCCCGCTTGTTCTCGAACGGGAAGATCACCTGGCTCACTCCGCTGCGCCGCGCCGCAATTGTTTTCTCCTTGACCCCGCCGATCGGGAGCACACGGCCCGTGAGCGTAACCTCCCCAGTCATCGCGAGGTTTGGTCGGACAGGCCTGTGGGAAAAGATATCAAAATGATCAGGAACAGCATCGAACAGTCGACGGGGTCAGCTGATGGATCGCATGTGATGTAAGTGAGCTTTTTGAAAGTGAGGAGGGATGATCGGGCTCTACCGTACGGACAAAGAAGGAAAGGGCTGAAGTACAGATAAGTCCCTTATGGATCTACCATGCCATAGTAGGTATAAATCGACGGAGAAAGAAGAGTGGTCGAGACGAGCCAAGGAAGAACGCAGAAACGAAAAAAGGGAGCGACAAAGCCTCGAAGGACCAACGATTTAAGGATCTTGAATATTGAACTGGATTCAAATCCAGAAATACACGAACGAAGCGGGAACTATAAAGAACTTCAAGAAGAGACCAAAAGAAGCCGAGCAGCAGCAGAACATCGACTCACTTGTCCATCGCAAGCGACAGCATGGACGTGATCATGGTGCAGCCCGCGCTGGGCCCATCTTTAGGCGTCGCGCCCGCGGGCACGTGCAAGTGCATCCGCGAATCCCGGAAGAAGTTGCTGTCCGGGTGCGACCGCCGCAGGAGCCCGCGCGCGACCGTCAGCGCGATCGACGTGCTCTCCTTCATGACGTCACCCAGCTGGCCCGTCACAGTGATGCCGCCCTTGTTCTCCCCGGTCTCGATCACGCTGCGAACGGGGGAGTGAAGATAAGTTCTTGAAATTGAGGATGACATGCAAACCCAAGTTTAGTGTTGATTGCGGTAAGACGTGCAAACGCAGGTGAGTTCTTGGAAGTAAGGATTGTGAAGTTGATGACTCTACGCTCTTACACCACGTGAAAAGCCTGACCAGTTGGAGTACGGGGGAGAGAGTGCATCTTTTTGACGGAGTCTCAAAGCTTTCGGGCCGCATGAGGAGAGCTTCGGAGGATGCGACAGAAAGGGGCGGCGTGTTCCTGCCCTGTGTGCTTCAAAAGGGTCCTTTCAAGCTTGGGATCGGGATCTTCTGTAATAGCAGCGAACCTCAGAAAACTGAATAGGCCAACTTCGTTTCAGACAAAGAGCATGGAACTCCTCGCGAACAGGACGCTTCTACTTATTTGGGCTGCCAATATTCACAGAGAGATTCCTCGAACAGAATTGAACCGCCTCACCTCGTTTCAACGTAGAGCGTAGACCCCCCCATCGCCGTCCACGCGAGGCCCATAACCACTCCCACCGGGGTCGCGTCGTACAGCTTCTCGCTCGTGAAAACCGGGTTACCGACAAACTCGCTCAGGTTATCCTTGGTCACCACGACTTTCTCCCCCGAAAACGCGCCCTCCTCGTCCTTAACCGCGTCCTCGACCATCTTGTCCTCGGTGCCCTTTTCGATCTCGAGGCTTGCTAAGTGCTCCGAAGGAGCCTCCGTAGTTTTAGGGTTTTCGGGTTCGTCGGATTTAGTATTTTGGGGTTTGGGGTTTGCGGAGATTGTGTCCCATAACCGCTTGGCGTAGGACTTATTGAACGCGTCCCGGGCGTCTTGGGTGGCGCTCTCGAGCGCCAGCCGTTGCCGGACGATTCGGAGGGCGATCTGCAGTCGGAGCGTTGGTTGATTGGACCAGAAACTTACAGTGGGCGCCGGGAAAAACGTGCAGGCAGGGAAGCACGAGGGGGATGCATGGGCGCCCAGTAAAATTTACGTGCCAAAGGTTTCAGCGAAATGCCCGCTCATTCGGGCGGATTCTTTTGCCGTCCATCGTGAAACAAACGGTGGAAGCAGCTACCACTGGCGACAATTTGAAGGTTATCCATCCCGTCTTACGACACGCCGCCGAAAGTTCGATCTGAATGACGTCAGCATGGGATGTGCGAGATGAATGACGTCAGCAGGGGATGTGCGAGAACTGCGTCAGCTCACTTTTCTGTACACTTTGTCGATCTGTTTCTGAAGGTTCCGCACCCCGGCCTCTCGGCAGTACGTCTCGATGAGCTCCAGCAGGGCGTCCTCCGCAATCTCCGCCTGCAAAAAGAGGCAGACGAGCCCGTTCAGAGATTTCAGGGTTTTCGGGGTTTAGGGTTTAAGCGGTTGCTTTAGTTAGCTTGCCGTGAGGTCAACTTACTACGAGAAGCTGCGATCAGCGGTCTTCAGCTGGCCTCAGGAATTGACCATCTGCGTCGCGGTTAGTGTTCAAGGGTTAATAAACCCAATCACCTGCGAACATAGAAAGAGCGACAATGGGTAGCTTAATGACATTGCCGAGGAATAGGCCTTCGAGTACGCTATGGGTTACGACAGCTGCATCAATTCTTCGTGAAGGACCAGACGAACTGCATGCTCTGCATCCCGCCACGTGGCATCCCTTGGATTGTTGTGCATGTAAAGCCACACGATTTGAAAGGTACAGAAGTATGATCCATCGGCATGTCGAGAATCTTACAAGACCTCTTCGAGGACCTTCGCGAGAATATTCTTTACGCTCGGTCGTACTCGAAACTATTTGTGAGCCACCTATCGCTCGCGTGCATGTGAGTTATAAGCTGTCCTCGTAAACCGAGCGCCTTTCCTTGAACAGTCCGAATCGAGGCACCATAGATAGAGGCACCGTCTGATAGCCACCGTTGGCAAAACAAACATCTCAAAATCTAGTTGCGCTGATTGAGGAGTCGGAAGTCCAAGGGGCACATTCCGAAACAGTTCCGTGTGCGGATCCTGGAGCCATCAGCGCACAATACGACGTCACTAGGCCAGTGTGCGCTGTCGTTGTCAGGCAGAGCAGACAAATCTGTGATTCCGTACAGTTCGTCGGTTCATTACTTCGCTTGTTTGAGTGTCCTCTGCTGTTCCCCTGACCTGTTGTCTCCCAAATGATGTCAAGATTCGAACAACACAACATGCAAGTGCCATGCGGTAGATAACGATTCACTTACCAGCCTTACGTTGCATGCTACTTCGTGCTTGCTACTTCGCGGCCCTCGTTTTTCTCAAAGGCAAACCATCCATCACTCCGCCAACTTCCCCCGGCTGCATTACTGTCGAACACAGCGGGCATTGCTCCCTTCCTCTCCTCGTTCGACATTGAAAAGAAAGAAAAGGAAAGAGGGCTCTTCTTTCCGGAGAAACAAGGAATGGAAAGAAAAAAGTCTTTTTTGAGTCCAGATATCGGCTCACCTCCGTTGACCTGACTCCCGAGTTCTTTTGCGCTGTCGGCTCCAGGTAGTCGCGTGCGATGTGCATCTTCTCGTCTGCAATGTACCCCACCAAGCGAATGACTTCCATACGGTCTCGCAGCGGCCCGGGAATGTCCTCCACCACGTTGGCCGTACACATGAACAACACCTGCGGGGAAAAGGACCGGTGTGAATACGGGGTCAATGCCTAAATGAATGGGCGGATGTAAGTGCAATGATTCGGAGAACCCTAAGAGGAGTCGCCAACATACTGGTCTGTACACATACACACCGATTGCGGGGGAAAGGAGCGATGTGAATACGGTGGAATACACAACGGAGAGCTAGGTCGGATGTGAAAGCGATCGCTGTCAACATACTTTGCAGAGTCTGCGTCACGTTGACCATGCACCTGCTAGTGTGAACACGCTCTGAGAAGTGTCAATTGTCAATTCCGAGGAATGTTTTTATCCTGCTGGTATGGAGTGGCTGTCGCTGGTCTGGGAAACAGCAGATTGCAAACTAGAGCGGTGCAGTCAACTTCGCACCCACTGAGCCAAAACAAAAGGCTCATAAACGGCGGACAGGTCGAGGCTCGGTTGAAAACCGTGCTCTGCTTGTTGGAGTCGGAGATGGTCAGAAAAGGGAGAGCGGCAGCAATTTGTCAATCCTGAAATCTCGGGAGTCGCTGATTATCTGGGTTACGGAAAGCTCGCAATTCAAAAGCGATGATAATCAGAACGACGGACAACACTGCTTGATTTACGGAAGAATCCAGGGGCCCGACCTTGTCTATTCATAACACCGAGGGTCTCCAAGTGACGCCAGGAGGATCCGATATTCAAAAGGCGACAACAGATGACACCCCAAAACGTCACAACGCTCACTCACTTCTAGAAAAGCCCGACTCTTCGGTGGTAGCTCGCAGTTTACGAACCTTGGACAAGTCGACGGGCACACCGATGTTGCAATAGAAAGTTGCAATCTGCTTGTCGACTAGCCCTCTTATGAGTCTTAGCAGCGGCAAATGCTCGAGATGCAAGGACCTGAGGGCCACGGAGATCGAATCTTAAAGATTCCGTGATCCTACCTGGAACAGGTCGAAGAGCAAGTAACACCAACGGATACAAGCTATGCTGCTCTCGTTATCATTCAAAGCTCTCGCTAACACAATCAGTGGCAAAGCGGACGGGTTCAGAAGCTTGTCAAAGGAGCCCAGCAGCCCAAAACCCACGACAATCTGTAAGGGCGAAGCCTGAACACCCATGTAAATTTGAAGAGGCCAACGAGCATTCGAGCTAGTGAGCTGAGACAGTTATAATGTGCTTGTCGAACCAAGGCCATTGCCAACAAGAATGGTGGCCAATCTAGAAAGTCCAAAAAGACCCAACGAGACTCAGAAAGGCACTTTTCACAAATGGAGAAAGCACTAAAACTAAACAAATGTTGGACAGGTCGACGGGCAGGTCAAGGTAATCATCAAAGCAACAGCTGTTGTCATTATCGTGACAGCACGCTGGTCGAAAGCGGCCACCCCGTAACCCATAACCCATAGGAGCGCCTTGGAGAGGTGGACGTGCACGTCGAGATAGTGGTCCCAAGGAGTTACTGTTGTGCTAATCAGGCGTAAGTCCAAAAGCTTGTCATCGTCAAGTAAAGATAGAAAGTTTCTTAATCTCAGGATCTCAGAACTCGTTCAACTCAGATCCTCTAGGCCCACATCTTCCACAACTTCGCCATGTCTGTAACCGAACATTGACTTTAGATATCCATGACCCCACCATGGAAAGGTCGACGGGCACGTCGAGGAAGTAATCCAGGTGGTGCTCTTCTTTCTGTCGGAAACAGTGTGGGAAAAGACGTGGCTCCCAGACATACAGACTAGCTGATGGCCCCAATAACCAAAGGGAGAGAAACAGGTCATGAATGGGAGACCAGTCAGGACAAAAGGCCGAACGTCCACGCACCTTGGAGAGGTCGACGGCCACGTCGAGGTGATGTCCAAGAAGTAGCTGTCCTAGTAGTCAAGCATAGGTCCAAAAGCTTTCAGGCCAGGCCAAGTCAAAGGCTTCACATTCAAAACCCACGAGCCAGGCACCTCCGTTGGACCCACATCTCCTAGATTCAAATGCCAGATAAAGAACAATCTTGTAATCCAACATCGAAAACGCGAAGACTGATACTGATGGGCGCACCTTGGACAGGTCGGCTGGCACGTCAAGGTAGTGAATGCTGATCTTCGAGTGGCAAGGTGAATGGCAAGTCACAAATCCAGAAACGTCCAAACATCCAACCTTCGAAAGCTAAGAATATAGACACCTGTTAACCCCAGAACTTCACAAAGGAGAACAAACAACGAAGACCAAGGAGCACGAAAGATCGATCGCCCCCGCACCTTGGAGAGGTCGACGGGCACGTCGAGGTAGTGGTCCAAAAAGTTGCTGTTCTGCTCCGGGTCCAGCAGCTCGAGCAGCGCGCTGGCGGGATCCCCCTGGTAGCCGCGCCCCAGCTTGTCGATTTCGTCGATCAGAACCAGCGGGTTGGCGGTCTGGACCGACTTCAGGCACTGCACCATCTTGCCCGGCATAGCGCCCACGTACGTCCGCCGGTGACCCTGCAAAGTTCATTTTTGTGTTGAGTTTACAGTCAGAGTTTCGAATTGAGGGTTAGGAATTGCGGTTGAGGCGTCGGACTCCCGTCTGCCTTAGCATCGTCTTCAGGCACTGCACCATCTCGACGGGACACGCCCACGTACGTTCGCCGGTGGCCCCGCAGAGATGCGGTTCGGGTGATCACGATTTCAGGTCGGGATTTTTGGTTCAGGTCTGCCTTAGCGAGAGCTTTCTGCACTGCATCGTTTTGCCGAGCATGGCGCGCCCACTGATGCGTACTTGCGCAGTGGCCCTGCGGGATATTTAAGTTGCACTCTGGGGTAAGCTTTCGGGCCACTTTCGTGTCAATGTTCGTTAAACGAGCCTTGACGTCTAGGCCCGTTTCAACTGCGCAATTTTGGCCAGGCATGACGTAAGTCCGCCGCTGACCCTGCAGCCGATTGCATTGAGTGACTGAATCAACTTCTTCCACATCAGGCTCTGGGCTGAGGCAGGTTAAAGCTTTAAAGCTTTCCGGATCTCTGGAATCTCATTGAAAGATGGACTTGAATAAGAGCCTGATGTGTTCAAATCAGAACCCGTCTCACTGCGGTGATAGAACCCCATGAGGAGATAGGTTCTGCGATCGTCTACGTCCGTTAAGAAGAGACCTCTTGAGGATCCTGAGAACTAGGTTGGAGTTACTGTCGCAACAAGCTCAAGAGGACTTTTTGTCACAGAGAGGCATTCTGCAAGCGAAGCGTCTTAGCTTGGCGGATGGCCTCTCAGCACAGCGTGTTTGAGCTTGCAGACTACCGGAGCTCTTACTTTTCCTTCGTGACGGGCAATCATGCTCGTAACTTCCCACACAATCCCGTACGCTTGCTTCATAGCTAATCTGATAAATGGGCGACGTTACCCCCTCTCGGCTCGTTGTCAGTCAAGTCGTCGATAACGAAGCGAGCGTCTGACAGATAAGAGGCAGCGAACTCAAACAAGTCGTCTTCCAGTGTTCCAAATCTAAGATGCATTACTTACTACGCCTACACCAAGATGTAAATGCAAATCCACCCGTCAAGGGGGGTACGTTTACCTTGATCTCTGCCACGTCGCTCAGCCCCCCGACGCTGAAGCGATAGAACTTCCTGTTGAGCGCGTGCGCGATGCTGCGGCCGATGCTGGTCTTTCCCGTCCCGGGAGGGCCCGACAAGCAAATGATCTTGCCCTGAGACGACCCCCTCAGTTTGCCCACAGCGATGAACTCGAGAATACGCTCCTGGCAACGTAGGGGGTGCTGAAACTTAAGAGACTCCGATCGAGAGTTGGCTAAGTCTAGATGTGGGCGGTCGAGAGTCAGTGACGCATACCTGTCGACCTTTCCGCGTTGAGAGGCTAAGAAGAAAAGCGATTGACCGCAAGTGAGACAAGCGGAAACTTCGCCACAGCACGCTTTTTGAGTAGGAGACGGCTCAACAATTCGCTCTTATTGCCCTGACACCGAGACAGCACAACGACCAATACACACTCTTCGTCCTCCCAGTCTGCCAAATGAACCTCTAGCAGAGCCCACGAGGAATGCTGAGACTGGGACGAAGACGATTTTGAAACCATCATGCTATCCACCCGCATCATGCACGTGGACGTCGAAAGGGGCATCGCTTTTCAAAAAAGGGATGAATATGAGGAGAAGCAGAGAAGCGTCCGGGCTATCCCAACAGGTTGCTGTTCGCAAAGCCGGGAACCCGATAACGCAACATGGTCTGCAGAGCCTTGCAAAAATACAAAGCGCTTCTGGGAATGTCCGAAGGGATGTCAGAACAAGAACGAAAAGGGCAGTTGGCAATGGATCAACGCTTGAAATTGACGTCAAATCAAAGAAGTTACGCAGGAGAAGGGGCCAGCCTCACCTTGACGTCAGTCAAGCCGTAGTGGTCCTGGTCCAGGATCTGCTGCGCCTGCCGGACGTCGAAGTTCTCCTTGCTGTAAGAATAGATTTGAAGATCATTAGTGGTCGGGAAGAGACTTACGAAGGTCTCGGATTGTTAAGACGGGTTTGGAGAGGTTAGCGATGACACATGAGTAGAGTTGGAGACTGCTAGAGATGAGAGACGGTTACTCGTAGTCAAGGAAAATGGAGGCAAACTTGCTGCAACCGCCGGTCAAGGTGACGGTTCAGCATTTTGTAAAGCAAAAGGACCGGAAGCGCCTCATCGCTGCGGAAATAATATCTCGACAACAAAGACCAGCGACAGAACCACAGATTTGATGAGAACAGTTCCAACAGACAAAGTGAGACAGTATATAAGCTCTTCGCAGAATCTTCTCACCTGTGGTGCCCCCAGGGCACTGATGTCAGCCAGTCGAGGTAGTTGCGCGTGACGTTGAACTCGGAGCTGCTCGGCTCCAGGCCCTGTAGCTTTTCCGTCTCCTCCTCAATCACCTGCACAGCAGAACCGGAACACAGCGGATAAGGAAATGAGAACGCAGGGCTAGAAGGCCTGTAAGCGAGGGCTCGGACACGGGAATGTGAAAGGTGGAAACTGCACTTCGGTTCTCACCGGACCATCTCAAGCAGACGCCGCAAGGAGCCCGCTGTCTGAAAGACGCTGCTATGTCGAGTATGAACACTCTCCTTGTTTCAAGTCACCGACTTTAGCACATCGAACTACGCATGCGATACAAGAATCGATGCGGGAATTACGCTGGCCGTCAACCGTCCCGTCCTCACTCCAGAAAACTGCATCCTTACAATAATCTTCGGGTCGACGAGATTGCTCTTCGCCTCGGGAATGCGGTTTCTGGCCTCCAAGCGAGGCACAACTTGCCAGGGATTGGGACTGTCGGTACAGACACGTAACTTGTAGTTGGTGCGAAATGCTGAAGCGCTTCGATTACAGAAACTTCCCCTGAACTCGGTGATGAGCCCCAAAAACCGTCAACACTACTTCGACTTACTTATGGAAACCCCGAGCACCAAAAACCAACACCTTGAATTTTCGAGAATGTAGAACCTTGGCCCCTCACCTGTAGCACCTGCGGCGGGCAGCTGGCGCGGAAGGGCGCGAGCTTCTCCTCGAACTTGGCGATGAGCGCCGTCTTGTCGTCGCGCTCAATGCCCAGCTCCTTCTTGATGCTCTTGAGCTGCTCCAGCAAAAAGTAGCGCCGCTGGTCGCCCTGGATCTTCTCCTCCACCTTCTTCCCAATGTCCGCCTGAAACACAAGGGAAAACAGCGTCTTTAAATCTCCTTGAAATGGTAACATCACAGATGAAAACTGACAGACGTTGGTTGCCTCCGAGAAATGTCGCTGCTCGCTCTGAATCTTCGCTTCCACCTTCTCTCACCCGTCCGCCCTCGAATCAAACATTACACAAAGCACTCCGTAGAAATCCAACGCGGGCTGATTATTTCAAGTCCCGAGAGCTTCTATCATCTAACGGACCAAACTGCATCTTCAGACTCGCCTCAGCGGTTTGCCAATCTACGCACTCTCTAGTCGCTGAGGTGTTATGGTCCTCGAATATTTTGGTCTGCATGATGACGCTTTCTCTGTAATGAGTAAGCAGTGGATGTGTGTCCTGGTTATGCGATTCACGCTCGCTCTCCGACGAAATTCCACAACCCAACCATTAAGGCACTCACCTGCAATTTGCTGAGCTCCAATTCCTTCTTGAGCATGAGCAGCGCCATCTCGAGCCGCTTCGGAACGTCCAACTCTTCCAGGACCGCCTGGATCGACTCTGCTTCCGAAGACGTGTTGGCGGCGGCAAAGTCGGCCAGCTGCGACGGGTTCTGCAGATCACCCTGGGGCTGCAAAAGAGTAAAGACTACTTTGTTCAATCGTTACTTTTCTTTGCTAGACAGGATGAGTTGCCAAGACGAGTTTTGATGAGTACTTTGACGATGCTGAAACCGCTATGAGAACGAGACGACAGGAACGGAGTATAAGGACAATTTCAGTGTCGTTTGGGGATGCTAAGAGACAAATTGGTTGCTTCGGAGGAAGAGGTGTGTAAAGTTTCGTTCTGCACTTCGTCAATAATAATGGTCATCCAAAGCCTTAAGCAAACGGAAAGACTGGAGTAAAGTCCCAAAAGTACCCTCGCAAATCGAACAACCGAAACGTTCTACAAACGCTCAAGATGGAAGGCGACAAGGAATAGAAATCGTAAGTGAGAGACCTCGCGGCAACCGGCTTAGGACCTAACGAACGCTGACAAATCAAGGACTCAATAAGGTTGGGGAAAGCCACAATCCGCCGTTTCTTCGAGGCGTTGAAAAAAGAACCCGACGAGATTCGATATCGCATCAAGTGCGAAAGCGACAGCCTGCAACTCTATACAGTAACAGTGAGGCCATAAACGCTCGTACGACCGGACCAGAATGGAAGAAGCAGAAAGAGGCATCCCGTCACGTGCCTCAAACCCCCGTCCTTGGTCGCCGCCCGCCAGAGCATGCGGGCGCTCCTCGCCGGCTCCGCGGCGGCGACCTCGGGGGGCACCGGCCGACTCCTTCCGTCGCCGAGCCTTGCGCTCGAGCAGAGTGCCCAGCACAGATACCATCTTGCCGACCTTGCTGGGAGGGGTCTGCGGGGGTTGCTGGCAGAAACGGGAGACGGAACGCGGCGCTAAGATGGGTTCGAGCAAGAGGAAGGAGGACCACAACACGAGAGAGCGGGTCGGACGGTGCACAATACTATAGCGGGAGGGTGCGAACGAGCTAAGCGACAAAAATAGTGCAGAGACAGTGCTAAAATCGAACGGCAATATCGTCGACCCAGAAAAGGAAAAGAATCCACCAAAACATGTGGCAGGAGAACGTAAACCCGGCCCAACCATTCCGAACCCCCTTGGCTGTGACCACAGGGGATCGACGGTCGAAGCTGACCGGAAGACCGCTTTTTTAAACCGTTGATCCAATTGCTTCCATACAGCAGAAAGAGTTCCTTCCAAAAGCGGCCCGAAATCCTCGTTACCATTCCACCCGTTCTGCCACGATTCCGGCGATGGCTCACCTGGTTGTAGAGGATGCTGGCAGCCTCTCGGTACAGCGGGTTGAGCGCCATCAGATCTTTCACCGTCTGCATGACCTCATGCTGCGTCGCCTTGACGACGTCGGTCTTCTCGTACGGCTGGTCCTGCACGTGCTCCACGTACGCGCTGAAGCGCTCACCCTCCACTGGGCCCGTCATTCGGAGCCGCCTGCAGTGTGGCACGTGGCGTAGGGTTACTGAGGGCGGAAGGAACTTCAATGGTGCTTAGTTCCGTTCCGGGGAGGCCATTCAGGCGAAGCCGCTAAAGAGATTATGTGGATCGAGTGTTAAGCGTGAGAGCCAGAGAGCATTCAAACGGCGACCTCAAGTTCACGGCAGGTGACACGTGGCATAAAGGTGGCTCCGAACTACATGCAACGTGGCGACAATTCGAAAGGAAACCTTATTCGGAAACGACGTCTTGTTTGGGAAAAGGGAAAGCATACCTCCGTCCGGCTTGATTTGGCACAGAGCAGAGCACGGCAGCCTAAGCTACTGTATGGGATACCAGTCGAAGATCAAAGAAAACAAATTTTAAGACGGACTCAGAACGATGAATGACATTCGTCTTCAATGGAATCGACAAAAGAAGCGAGCTTTAGCAGTGAGGATACGAGGCCAGGTTCGCAATAAACAAATCGACAATTGATCTTACTTGTACCTTCGGTATTCCTGTTTACGACTTGGAGAAACACACAGTGGACGCTCACACTTGCCTCGACAATCTCATTTCAAACAAGATCACAGAGCTAAACAAGGTCAACAGATTTTCGTACCTGTGTCCAAACAGTAACATGATCGAGTTCTCCTGGGTAGGCAACGCCCAGTGGATCTGCGCCAGCGTCCCATGGTCGAACACCTCCGGGAGCTTGTCGACGTCCTTCCACCGGTTCGGGTCTGCTTGCGAATTTAAAGCGTCGCGCCTCAAAAAGGCGCCAACGTACAGAATGCCTTGCTCCCGCTGCTTCTGGATTAGCTGCATGAGCTTTGGGTTCTGGGCAACAGCAAAACTAGTGTTAGTGTCGTGGCACCTTGGCAGAGCTTTTCTTCGACTTTGAAACTCGCCTTGATTTGAAAAGTAAGAAAGTGTTCGGAATAATTCAGAGGGAGGAAGTTCCAAGGGAGAAGAGAAATCAGAGAACATCATCTCCCTCTCCTTTAGGTTCATTGTACCCAGTGCAGATGCAGGTTTGGCACTCAGTATGTAAGTATGTTTCCGCGGAGGCAACAGGAATCTTCAACTGGAAAGATCTTGGCACTGCGGCGGTCACCGTATCACTATTATAGATGCGATAAGGTTGACTTGTAACGGAGGTTGACTCTACAACAGCAGTGTTGTGCCGACTTTTCTGGACGCGAATTCGGCGATGGAACACGCGATCAAACATGGATTTTTCTACGGACCAGCATCGTTGGGCCTGACACCACCAATATTTGAAGAAGTAATTCCCCCCAGATAATTTGATTGGGAAAGGGATAGCAAATCCCGTGTCTTGACTTTCAAAACGCACCTGTATGTGGACCGGCATCATTTGCCCTGGCATCAGCGGCTTCCGTGGCATCGGAACCACTAGCACTTTCTTCACGCTCTCCGGCCTCGGTTGCGTGACCACCAACGCCCCCGAACTCCCCATGTCACCCCCCCCATCGCCCGAGTAGTGAAACGTGCCCCCGCCGGACCCCCCCGTCCCATCGAAAATGTTCGTCCCGTCTTGCAGAAAGATCTGTAGAGTCGGGGTCATTCTCTTGGGGTACCCGCGCTGCTTCCGAGACAACCCCGCCGCCCCCCGCGCCTTTCGGTGCAGGGGTTTCAAGAGGTCGTCCACGCTGACTTCCACCGGAGGGGGGGGCGTTTCTCTCCCAAGGCCAGCGATGTGGCGCCACAGCTCCTGCGCAAAGCTGCTGCTCTGGGGGGCACCATTACCAACTGCAACGTTCCCCCTGGCGGCAATCGGCTCCGGCACTTTCCCCAAGCCGCTGATGTGCTCCCACAGCGCCTCAGCATAAGGCAGCTGGCCGCTGATGTCAGCATGTATGCGGCTGCGATCTGATCCACCCAGTGATCCAGAGCTCGTTGCTTTGTCATTTGTGGTGAATTCAATAGGGGGATACGGACCAAGATCCCCCAAAGGCTTCTGCTCAGAAAAAGAAGGCAGGGCACGACCCCAGAAACCCCGCTGACCAGCAACCCGTTTCAAGGGTGAATCAAGAGTTGCAACCCCCTCAAAGTCCCAACGTAAACTGATTGATGGCTGGGTGGTGGAGCTTGGAGCTTGGTAAAGTAAGGGCTGGGGAAACTTAGGAGTCGCCTCCCTCACAGAGGAGCCATGAAGATGATTCACGGTACTTTCCAGCGAAGCGACCAGTGCCTGCAAGGGCCCCGCTCGGTGGCGGCCGGCGGCCAGCATTGTGTTGCTCCCTCACGTCCAGGGCGATCAGCCCCAACAAATTTCAGCAATCGTCCCTCCCACCACACCTCGCACATGCAAACAGCGGCCCACAGGTGACATGGTGCTCTGAGCTTGCCTTGAAGAAGGTTCTGGAAAGAGAAGTGACCAGCCTCCGATTCCAATATGCAGCGGGCAAGTCGACTCGTATGAGTGGTATCAGGGATTTGAATATCAGGGTTTGCACAGATCATTACGTATCTACTAACCCTCTTTCTGAAGGCAAAGTCCCGCACCAATCCGGCCACACCAGTCCGCGAAACACGAAAAGTAACCTGGCTCATAAGCCGTCCCCTAAAGCAGACCGAATTTCGAGCATTGCCCTGAATATGAATTCCCTCGAATGCCATGCATGGAACTTGGAAGGTAGCGAAGTCCTGATCAGGATTCAGCACCACTGCCAGACATTTAGAATCAAAGACCAGTTGGCAGAGGGACAGGACCAGGAAGACGCTCTCTATAGAACTTCAAGAGGCGCTTGGAGAGGCTGTTACGGTACGTCAGTTGTGCTGGATGGAATGGAAGCGTCTCGGGCCTGTTGAGAGGCCAGGCGACAGGCTGTGAGCTTACAAATATCTGCCAGTGCCAGAACTCGGTCTCAAAGGTCAGTATGGTTCTGATTATGATCCTGGATCATTCGGCCAAGGCCTTCTTAGCTCGTCGTGGGGTGGAGTTGCATTGAGGTGAGTACAGCAATGTGCGCTTGCCTGAGTTTTCGTTTAGAGAAGCGAAAGCAGCACAGTAGCTCTATCTGGCATGTTCAAAGAAATGGCCGCTCAAGTTCTTGCTCTCAGGAAGCAACATGAAACGCCCCTCAGCATGACTGCGCTAGCTGGGTCGGCTATGCGGTATTCTCAAAAAGACCTGTCGTTGAGGGGTAGAGTGAATAGGGAGTTACTCTAGCTATGGCAGTCAAAAGACGACACACATTCTAGAATGTTGGAGCCTTGGATGCTCTGAAGCCCTTCTTCTAGTTATCTGAATCATCTTGAGGTTGAGTAAGCTATGGGGAGGCCAAGAATCCATTTTCCCTTTTGCAGTAGTTGAACTTTCGGACGGGCAACAAGTCAGGAGGCAAACCGCAAAATGATGAAGTGGCGGCAACATTGAGATCTAAACAACGTAGAAACCAGATGTGCAAACTTTGATAGTAAGTAGTGGCTAATTTGGAAGCACACCCTCCGTCTCCTCCACTCGTTGCTGGTAACCATAAATTGATCACCTGGCGCTACTCTCAGTGGCAACTGTAAGGAACCAACTGCTAGAACTGCATGCTGTAGAGCCCTCGCTATCCTCATGTGTATCTTTCTGTTTGGTGAATCATTGCAGGCCCCTGCATCGTATATGCTATCCATAGAGTGGTTGTAATGGCTGTGCCGGGGGAAGCAGGCGATGCGGAGCTAGCACTGCGGTTACACCAGGAGCTCAGTGGGTTGCCAACACGGAGGCGGCGAAGTCCAAGCCAGAGGGACGGGAACTGCGATAGCCCTTCGGCAGACGTCTCCCCCAGCGGGTCGGGAGCCCCATTGGAATCCATTTTCAAAAAACCAAGGCTAGAAGTCAACGACAGTGCTCAAGCAGGGTCTCTGTCAAGTGATGGGGAGCCAACTAATGGTGGCGAGGACGAAGAGCCCCTTCCGGAGCGAGGGTCCGGAACCTGGATTACAAGAAGGCAAAGATCCCCTGTCATTCCGGATTCGGCTCAAGTCGGATGGGTCAAAAAGAGCTGCTCGGAACCCTCTGCACCATCTAACGCTGCCCCGCTCCAAGGAGCTGACAGGGGCAAGCCCTCCGAGGCGGAGCCCAATCTTGGGTCTGCCCCTCCTGACCTGGAGCAAGAGGCTGCTGCCAGAGTCCGGAAGGCTCTAGCAGTATACAACCATGAGAGGCTGCACCAAGTAGTCAAGGAAGAGGAACGGGTCAAAGCAGACGGCGGCACGAAGCGCCCAGATCTGAAAACCCTGCAAGCTATGAGGAAGAGGAAGCAGATTCTACATGATGGGAAGAAGGTCATTGGGCACTTCCCTGGGTAAATCATCATTCCCGACACTTATCGTTAAATTCCTTAAAAATTGGAAGTCCTTCAAACTAGCTGGTAATATTCCGTTCCATGATTCAGTCTGCTGAGTGCCTGGATTCTGGCGATTGATGGGTTCTGGCATCAATCGCCACAGGTCTTCATGAGTTCTGTTGATTTGGGACCAGAGGGTTGTACAGCTGTAGGGTTTAGGGTTCATGGTTCTGATATATAAGAATCGTCTCAGCCTTGTGAGTTGGCAATGCATGCCTTGGAAGATTTGCCGGAGGAGTATGCCACTCTTGTGGAGGCTTGGCTGGTTCATGTTTTACAGGCTTCTAGTGTCTCCAGAGTCCTTAAGTTTCATCATTGTGTTCACTGAAATATTGTCTGCTGGTTGGGTTGTTGGGTTCTTCGCGCCAGAAGTTGTTTTTGACATGCTCTGTGTTGACCTGTGGAAGCATGTGGAAGGGGGTCGACCTTGTTGCCTGTGTAGGAGTATCACAATCGGCAATCTGATTGTGGCTGGAAAAGACACCACACCTGTGCGCCACTCCCTGAAGTTAAAATGAGCTGAAAATGAGCTGAAATTAGGTCTTGATACTAATAAGCACGATAGGCATTTTTACTGGATAATAATTGGATTCTGCTATGGCCTGCAGGGTCAAAGTTGGAGATTCATTCTACGAGCGGGCCCAACTCTCAGCTCTCAGGCTTCACACCCCACCAGTGGCGGGCATTGACACCCTCGCAGCAGATAAGAGTCCCTATGGAACCAGCATTGCCACGTCCATTGTTTTAGCAGGAGGCTATGAAGATGACGTGGACAAGGGGGAAACCTTTACCTACACAGGCGCCGGAGGTGAGTAAGAAGGCATGAGCCTACTAGTCTCTGTTGTTCAAAGCCTTAAGGTGCAAGGCCGCTAGAGCTAGCACTGGCAAGTTGTTGTATAGGCCGTGGGAATCTTAATCTCACCAAGGCTTCAGGATGCATCATTGACATTTGAGGTACTGTGGCACCTTCAATTGCACTGGAGAGTGGCTTGGCTAAGGTGTGGTATCCTTTGTCCATACTGCCTTGATTGTTGATATCCCTCATGGTGCACTATGTGATGACTGTCAACGAGATTTGAAAAAAGCAGGTTGGCCTTGTTGATGCTATTGGTTTGGTTTAAAGAGGGCGTCAGATTTCAAAGCGCACTAGTGGCATCCGAGTCCTGAGGGAAATCCTCATTGGACGGACTACATTGCATCTTGAAGATTGGGCCGAGCGACCACTATGCCCCAGTTCTGCGGCATATGGTCGCCGAGGCGCTTGGACACAGGACGCCCTCTTTAAAGGGATTTTGACTTGATTTTGAGAACAACTTGCCAGTCACCTGTTACAAATTGCGAGAATCTTGTCTTAGCGTGCTGAACACGTCTTGTGATATTTCACCTGTCGAACTTCTGTCATGAAATTTTGATATACTATGAAATTTTGATATACAAGTGCTTTGCTTGTGCAGGCAACAACATTAAAGGCAATCGTCGACAAGGTGATCATCAAAAATTGGAGGGCGTGAACCAGGCTCTGGCAAACAGTGGGCGGCTTGGTGTACCCGTTCGTGTTTTCCGGGGTTTTGAGGAAACGAGTGGCAACACGAAAGTGAGAGTCTTCACCTACGACGGGTTGTACCTGTGCGTGAATAACTGGATACAAAGGGGGATCTCAGGGTTCGACGTGGTGAAGTTCGAGATGCAGCGGCAAGGAGGTCAACCCCCGCTTTCTTCGCAACAAGTCTACTTCGTTGGCCAACGCGGTTCACTCCCGAAGACAATGAAGGCTGCCGATCGGCCGGGACTCATTTCAACCGACATCTCGGGAGGGAGAGACACCATACCCGTGTGTATGGTTAACGACCTCGACAAGGAGGACGCAGTTGGAGCCCCCGCTTTTGAGTACATCGCACGGATGGATCACCGGCAAGAAGAGGGCCCCGCCTGCAAGTGCACTAACCCGGGAGACTGCTCGGATCCAAACAAGTGCGCTTGCGCCCGGCGGAACGACTTCGGCTTTCCCTACGTCGAGGGGGGGCGTCTACAACAAACGGGGCAAGGGGTGGTTTACGAGTGCGGGCCAAGCTGCGGCTGTGGAGATAACTGCCCTAGTCGGGTCGTTCAAAAGGGCTTGTCTCATCGCCTCGAGGTCTTCAAAACTCGCAACAGAGGGTTTGGAGTCCGTTCCTGGGACTTCATCCAAGTCGGAAGTTTCATCTGCGAGTATACGGGCCAGATCCTGACAGACGCACAAGCCCACGAGTGCGACGACGACTCGTACTTGTTCAACATTGATCCCACCACCGACGGCTTCGTGGGAGAAGAGTTTGGCGCCGAAGCAAGCATCTCGAAGCTTCCACAGGTGGAGTACAGCATCGACGCTTTACGCGCGGGGAATGTGGCTCGCTTTGTGAATCACAGTTGCACACCAAATGCGGTTGTACAGTCCGTCCTGTTTGATCACCATAACCCCAGCTTGAGCCACATTGCCCTGTTTGCGTACGACAACATCCCTCCTGGTCGAGAGATAACGTACGATTACAACTACAAAGTCGGTACAGTGATAGGAGTGGATAACGAGGAAAAAGTGTTGGATTGCCTTTGCGGCAACAAGCCGCCTATCTGCAAAGGTAGACTTTACTAATCATTCTGTAAGTGAGTGTGTAAATTCAAACTACAGTAGGTTTAACCAACAGTTGTGAGAAAGAACAAAGTTTGATGTGTGTCCACCTCGACCACCTCACTGATGTCCAGGTAACGAAAGTTAACCATCTCAAGTGATTTCGTTTTAAGTTTCTTAAGATCAGAGGGCCCGGGCCACACGCCCTTAGGGGGGCGGCCCTCTTTGTAGCGCCGCCCATTACTATCTGGGCCGGGCCACTGTTCACGGCTCCCCAAACGCTTCTCTGCTTCTCATGACATACATACCCTCATACCAGGTAACCAACGTCCTATCAACGTGCCGATGGTATGCAAGTGTGAGCACTGTTCATGCTGTCGTGATGCTGTTGGCATGCTCAGATGCTCAAAGAGTTCGTTCTTCTGATCTCGGCGGTTGTGAACTCCATGGACTCAATGGATGGGAGTCCGGAGATCCGGATAAATCCGGAGGCTGATTTCACATGCAGCAACTCGCACACTGACGCTCGGTCGCGCCTGCTCGTCTGGTGCGGCCATGAAATGGTGCATATATCGTTGGAACTGACTGCACGTGACTGAGGGAAGGGCCGGCCCGAAATCCGACATACCAGCTTCAAAACTCCTCTCCCTCGCTCTAGTTAATAGAGTTAGGTGGATACAATGATCTGCGCCATTGCGATAAGCAGGACTGACAAACTGCAGAGGGCCGTCGGGCGCACCTGCTTGCATAGCGTGGTGTCCTGGCAGCACTCATTCCGCAAGGCGGCCACTCAGAGAGAAATTATCAGCAGGGTGGCTGGAGAGAAATCATGCAATTGGCGTCCCACCAATAGTTGTGCCACCTACAGCGGTTCAAATGAGGGGGAGCTCCTTGCCTCTCGGCACCTTGCGTCTGATCAGCCAGCGGCGCTCTGCTGGCAGCGGTTTTTCTCATAGTGTCATCAATGAGATTACCGACCCGTCTTTCCCAAGCCCCAACTCTGGTCCCATAAATTGTGGAAAGGCTTCCAGCAGTGACTATGAACTTGATCACTCTCCTCACAACCACACCGCTGCGTCCGCCAATCGATGCTCGGGCCTGCGAAGGTGGTATACTTCGGATGCAGCGGGCAGTTCAGGCCGGGGTCGGAGGCGCGACCCCTCTCCCGGTTTCCCTCAGAGGAGAGGGGGTTCTCTTGGGAGAGGCGCAAGTGGGGAAGCTGTCGACGTAGGCCAGGCAGCCAAGGGGCAATTTGAGGATCCAGAGAGCGAGAGGAAGGGGAAGCCCATGGAGGGGAGCAGCATTCTGCAGCAGATTCTGGCCGCCAGCGCCAAGGAGAACGAGGAGGCTGCGAAGAGGGCCGAAGCCAGAAGCGGAGCGCAGGGGAGTGCGGAAGCGAGTGGCAGGAATGGCGCCGGAGGTGGGTGTGGAAACTTTGTCTGACGTCACGCCGTTAGTTCTCAGAGCGAAGTCGTGTGCATCGCTGTTTTCAAGCCCCGAAAGTGTTGTGGGATTCAACGGGGGAGCCAGATGCAACTTTAGAGCAGTTAATGAATGAAGCAGCTGGTGCGTAGAGAAGGTGGAGTTTAGAATTAATGTGTTGGTAATGGTGGTGATGCGTGCTGGGCATAACACAGTCCACTGCAATCCCGTCTCTTACAATCCTAAGCGACGGTGGTCCGGTATGGTTTGTCGGCAACCAGTATGGTTTGTCGGCAACCACTAATCAATCAAAACACAATGAGCAAGCAAACTTTTCTGAGCATGCACTACCAACAGCAGCTCATTTCTGCTGATGGTCAAGTTGACGACGGCCGATATCTTAGTAAACCAGATCTAGAAACATGGTTGATCACCGATTGCAAGGATTTCCTCAAGTCCCCGAACTTCCTTTTAATCTTGCACCATAAGAGGAAGAAAGCCTGACAAGAGTGGGCGCGCAATGCTGCAATCTGCTAAAAAGATGAATCAAGAATTTGGAAAAGCTCTTCCAAAGTTGGGGCGTCTAGACATTGTGGACATGATCCAAAAAACGCTGACAGCGTCAGAAATCAGAATGTCGATCGCAATTCTGGGGGAGTCTACATATCAGACAATTGTCAGCGGGTGAATGTCTCTTATTGCGCTTCGAGGGATTCATTTTGAAAGACATTCTGTGACTCGAGGAAGCTCTTACAAAACATCAAGGTTGTAAAATTGATTACTATCACTCCTTTTTGAACTTGATTCTTGCTCTGTCCTTGCAGCCCGGCTCGGCCCTCGCCCGCCCAATAACAACATGCAAGACCTGATGCGCATGTTTCAGCCCAAGAACGGCCCCTTCTCTAGTGACACCCCAGACCCGGATGGCCGCCTCTTCCGCCCCCGTCGTTCCCCAGAGCCCCCCACCTCTAGTTCCTCGTCCGGTCCCCCAATGCTTCGAGACGAGATTGACAGCATTCCTCCCGCACAAAGGGAGGTCATCACGATAGGGTACGGTGAGCGTGCGGCGATGCAGAAGGAGGACCGTGTGATCTACCGGGGGGGTACTCCGGCTGGGGCTGGGAGGGGGGGCGCGAGGGGCGGGGACAACCGACGGCGGCCCCTGACGCTGAGCGAGATCTTTTCGAGGAGTAAGACGGAGGGGGAGGAAAAAGCGGAGCCAAGCGTGAAGGTGCAGTACAAGAGGAATGTTTCGCAGGGGAGGGGCAGGTCGGCCGCGAGGTGAGGCGAATAATGCTGAGCTCAAAGTATAATCGCTTGCGTTCAACTTTTGCCCCTGCCTTTTGAATTTGGAGTTGCGCCGGTTCTTTGAGCCGTTTAATCGATTCCATCGAGCGAAAGTCCTGTTAAGCTTCAAACTTTCGCTTTCCAGGGGAAGTACTTGAGGCAATTGATGTGTTGGCGTCAATCGGGATTGCTGCGTCATAGGCTCTTACTTCGGAACGTGCATATGTGCTGAGCGCCATTTTCATTTTTCTCGAGCAATGTCTATGTCTCCTTCGAGCGATTTTGAAGCTTTGACCGAGTCCAGTTCCATCCACAGAAACTAGAAGATGACCGTTTCTCCTGACATAGGTAGAAATAGTGTCCAACTGGTCTGAACAGTTGATCTTCCGATCAATCTTGTCAAATCCAAGTCCTCGTTTTGCCCCTCTTGTTACTTCCTCTGCCGTTCTTTTTCGTTCACAAAGTAAATGCCCGTTGATCAAAGGGCATTAACCAATAACCCTTGCGAGATTGTGCTTAAGTGCCACCACAACTCAATCTGTCACGTCTCGTTCTGAGCGTCCCGTTTCCTCATCTACCCGATTCTCCTGGCCCTTCGTACCTTCTTTGCAATCTCAGTTGTCTGCCTACTGCCTACTGCCTTATGTTTGGTACTTAATCGCAGATTACGAAGCACGTCAATAGGTGTCACTCCTGAACACAGCTTCTCAGTGCATGCTTTCTTGTGTCGTTCATCACACATTTGTTCTTGCCGTGCCTGTGCAGTCGCATTAGTTCTCGATTTTACACGCTCACTGTAGTTACTGCCCTCTTTCAGTTCTGAATTCCAACAACGCGTGCTGGGTCTGCCGCCTGACGAGGATTCTGAGCCGACGGAGGAAAGGAGGGGGCAGCGGCGCGCCGAGCGGTAAGATTGCTTCAACGCGTTTGCTTCTGAAACCTTTTTCAAGCTCACAGGAAATGGTCAATGGAGACACTAGAATCAGAGGAGAGAAGCTGGATATGACAGCGTTTAGGAGTAGACACCTTTGTGCTTATCAACCGTGCACCTCAATCTGTTCTGTGCCGACTCACAGACGGTGGCAGGTTTCCTCGATCATGGGAAATGAGCAATTTCTGGTTTCCTGGGTCTTTGTTCCGTTTCTTATCCGGAGAACTCTCAGCAATTCCTAGCAGTTTGCTGGCAAGAATTTAGGGATCCGGTCGATTTGTAGACCCCCCATGGTACGCATTTGCAAAACTTTTCGCAGGTTCTTTTGCAAGAAGCATGCAAGACCTGAAAGGCGCACTCTTGTCAGATCTTGTAAGAACAAAGATTGACACTGCATCGACCAGAAAGCGACACCTGGCTCCTAAATCACACTTGGCCTGTTCTTCCGTTAGCCCCTCTCTCGGGGAATCGAGGACGAGCAATCGGCGGCAGCGGGCTGATGATGAAGAAGACGAGCGTCCACCGCTGTACGGCGAGTTTGCAATTTCCAACAAGATGCCGCAGGACAAGCGTGAGTCGCCGCCTTCTTTCTGTTGCTTCTGGTCGTTGCTCTAGCTCCATGACCCGGATCTTTCGTTCGTGGTTTAGTTGCAATCGTTTTGTGCAGCGTCGGGAAGCTGGCAAATATCTCCGTCCTCGGCGGAACAGATTGAGATGGATATTGCCAAGTGTTCGGCCTCCGGCAATCCTACATGCTTCTTTTCGTACAGCAACGAGGACAGATTTCAGTTTCAGATGGTCGATTGCGGAGTACAACTTTCGACTCACTGTCCTTCTTAGGCAGCTTCGAAAAGGAACTCAAGGCAGGGAATCCGAAACGGAGGTAATGATCCGGATCTTGAATCGAACGGCAGTAGGTTGACAACCTTGCAAGGTTTGAGTTGCCGGCGTGATGATCCAACCGTTTTCGCGCAGCTCGGAAAGAGAAGAAGCCGAACTGGTCTGCAGAGAATCGCTGTCAGTACAAGGCGCGCAATAACTGAATCAGCATTGAACGAGCGAAGAAGTTATCACCTAGCAAGATCTGAGGTGGCCGTGCAATGATTTTTGAAACATCTCTTGCGCAGCCCGGAAAGAGAACAAGCCGAACCGGTCAGCAGAGGAGCGCGCTCAGTACGAGGCGCGCGAAGCGGAGCGAGAGGAGAAGGAACTGGAAGAAACGGCGAAAGAGACGGAGCTGGAGATCGAGAACTCGGAGTGGTACGAGATCATGAAGCAGGGCTGGGAGCCGCAGCCGGACGAACTAGGCGTGCCGCAAACGCCGGAGGTGGCGCTGCGGGACCACCTTGCGGTGAGCCCGACTTCCCTTTTTCAGTTCGCAGATCGATCCCGGCCAATTGCAGGTTTTGATTGTCTGATTATTGATTGTTTGATTATCGTGAGCCGCATGAAAGGGGAACTGGGGCCGCTTGAGTGCTTCCTCGGCCCAGAGACTTTCGTTGTGCATTCCGTTCAAATTTTGGTTCACCCCCGGATGATACCGGGTGATCAAAGTGCTCTGTGTTCCCGATCTAACGAGAGAACCTGACGCTATTACTCCCTCAACTCCCAAACCCTTTTGGTATTTTCGGTACTTATTACCACTCGCTCCACGCTTTCATGTACGACCCCCAAACTGGAGCTTCACACAATCGACCATTATCTATGATTCTTAGTCGCAGAACAATGATGCAGGGAAAGCCCATCACCTTTTGGGTTAACGCCTGGTTAGCGACGCCGTTTTGCAGATGACCCTGGAACCCGAGTATCACATGGAGTCGTTCGGCGTCCTTCCTGACCTGGACGACACCCCTCAATCGCCGCTGGAGGACGCGCTGACCGCCTGCAAGCAGGAGCTGATGGAAATGAGTGGGATTGAAGATGAGGACACGTGGCAGGTGAGTATTGGCGCATCATATCCGTTATCCTTTTCTGATTGCCCTGATTGCCGTGAATTTCAAGGAGGAGGAACCTCAAAAGTGATTTGCTGATGGCGAAGGCAACGGAGGGCGGAAACGGGTAGGTCAAGGTGAGTTTAAGTCGCGGACGCGAAAACGAACGTTGTGACATGTGGTCTGCTTTTGAAAGAGGAAACATGCGAGGGAGATATTGTGAGTCCGTCCAGCTTCTGTGAGGATATGGCATCACCGAGTTTCCCGAGAAGCGCCTTTCCGCCTTTCATACTTGTACTCGGTCGCCAATCGTGTTTGAATGAAGGTAGGCTATCTGGCCCCTATTTCGTACTCGCAAAAGGACGGCTGAGTAACGAAAGAGTGGTTCCCGAAAGTCGTTTTTCCAGCTCGGCTAGAGTGGTGCAGAATTTCCATCTTTGAATGTAAAACCTCGCTGGAGCTGGAGGGATCTATCAGATTTACCGCTTGTTCTTGGGCATCTAGAGGATAGCGCACCGACAGCCATCGGTGTTCGGGCATACTCTGCAGGAAATGTCTGAGCATTTCAAGACTTTGTCAGCTTTTGAGTTGTGGACAACACCTGTCAATCGTGCGTGCAGGCGATGCTGAAGCGAACATTGGACCGGACGTCCGAACTAGAAGCGGTGGTAAAGCGGTATAACAAGAGCGCGCATGTCTCGGCGGCACAGCAGCACCGGATTTTAGGCGACATCATTGGGGAGATGCCCGAGCGAGGGTCGCCCTCCAGAACGCCCGAGATGGTTGCGCACGTCACGCGGGCGCTGCAGACGCTCGAGGTGAGTCGGTCGGGGAACGAACCTTACGGTACTGCTTTTGAGTGTCGCCGCCGTACAAAGGATTATCAGGACTGCCGATAGGAAAAGCGGATGTAAGAAGCGATGAGAATCGAAAATCGATTTCTTGACGGCATTGAATGATTTGGCTCGAAATGGTGAAACAATATTGGTTTCAGTATTGAGGCAGCGAAGTGTTGCCTTAATGTCTGGGCCGAGACGGAGATGAGGATCATGAAGCGATGGATTCGATGATCATGCGGTGAAGCATGTGATCGAATGGGGTTTGCAAGCAAGCACTGACCCGACCCGTTCACATTGCGGTTTGTGCTTTCATCAGTGCCGGTCAATCAGGTGACGTCTGAAGGTTCTCTCGGTTAGCGCGCGACTGAGGCAACTATGATCGGAACCTTTTTTCGAGAGGCATTATTCTCTAAACTTGGTGTATCGGGAGGAATTTTGCTTGTCAATAAGAGGAGGAATGTCGGCCAGATTTGCCCAGCTTTTCGAGCTTGTAGGACGCCATCTCAATACTGTCTTGTCTCAGTGTCGCGAATTTAAGAAGACCGGGAGGCAGGATTTGTTCTTCCATCATTTGGGCGGTGCAACCGTTCATCCTTCGCAAGAAGCTTCCCTTGGACGAAAGTGACGGACTGCAAGACAAAACCTGCATGTACCTTTCGATTGAAGAGCCAAGTGCTTCCGAAAACAGCATCGGATCTTCGCTATGGCATCTATCACAGCACTGAAGTTCTGCGAGTCGCTGATTTCGAGTCGTTGATAGGCAATGCCTAATCTGCTTTGTCTTGGGAAGAGACAGAGCAGTTGAAGGGATTACGTCGACTTTCGACCTCACCGTAGAACCCTTCGTGCATACCACATTCGAATATTTCCGACGGGAATTGTAAGCTGACTTGTGGGTTCTCATTTGTGCAGCATAACTGCCGATGGCCCCTCGATCGCAAGAAGGCCGTTATGACATCGCTCATTGCACAGCTAGGGAAGTACGACGGGTCCAATAAGCAGTCCAAGCTGATGCAGTCAGTATTCGGTTGATCAGAAACGCACTCGGCTAGCTTTGCTCGCGTATTGGCGAGAGGTAATCTCTTGGAACGATTGGATGACACAATGATGGTGCATTTGCAGATTCCAATGGGCTCCGAAAGCATGCCACGTCATCCTTCCCTTCCTACCTCACAACAACCTTATCAAAAGCCCAGCCGCAACTCTAGCACGTCGGATGGTAGTACTTGCCCATTCGTCGGAGCAAAAAGTCACATGGCGCTGAAATCATGTTGGCATCTTTCTGTCAGCTTCCCCACCCATCCTATCTTTGCATCCCGAAACCAATCCGTGGCTTCGGTAGTTTACAATTGTATAAGGCTTGAGAGCAATTTATCTACCGATCTCCGGCAACTAGACCACAATCTTGCAGAACTGACGCCGGATCACAACCTCCGTTTGTGTTCTAGGATATACTGACATATATACTCGACCAGTTCATTGCTGCAGCCTCGGGCAGCCTAGCTTACAGCATGCAAGCACTGCTCTTGGCATGCCCCTTGGCGAACAGAAGTTAATGTATGCATGCCTAACCCATCTTAATTGGTTGATGAAGTGGTGAAAGATCAGCCATGCACCGTCTAGATTTGACCAATTCATTAAGGGCAGCGCTCAACGAGATACCGGCAGCGGAAGTTGAAACTGGGACTAACTCGGACTGACTGCGTGATCCCAGTGTTTCCACTGGGGGCCCGCCACCCCCAATAGGAGGGGCTTGGGGGCCCAACGAGCCCCAAGAACAGGGGGGCCGGTACGGGCCTCCAAAGAGCATCGTTGGGGGGCCCTTTTGCCCCCAATGGCTTCAGTCTGAGGGGGCCGCCCCAAGATTACGAATTATCTGAAAGTTTTTACTACTATTTACACAAGATTCCTCATCATACACTCATTCATGTATGCCATGAGAAGCCTATGGCCTATTTGGCTACGGCGAGAACGAAAAGAGACCATCATAATCAGCTAGCGGATATATGACGTTCAAAGCACCTACTGGTGGGGCGTGCTGGGCGTTGAGCCCCCCGGGCCCTATGCATCTACGATGATTAATTAACCACACTGTCATGTGGGACCTATAGGGGGCATTCTCAAGCGGATATTTTGGGGCCCCAATCAGGTCCGTGGGCCGGGAGCTCCCAATAAACAGGCTGAGGGAGCCCACCGGGCCCCCGAAGAACGGGCCCAGGAAGTTACCGTATAGCGGAATTTAAAACACTTTGGCAAAGCGTACCGCACCTGCGCGCAGAAACAGAATATTTATTAGATCGCATATATGGGTTGGGGACCGAGGCGCATATGCCGTCGCCCAGACCTGAGTCGTGACGTAATTTTCAATAGTAATGACTTAGAAGGTAATCTTGTCAAAGATTGTGATTGAAATTTGACATTCAACCGTCAAGCAAATCAATATTTGCATATCTTGGTACCTATAAGGATTTAATCCATGATCTTATGTATGGTGCAAAGCAAATGCAATGCGTCATCCACGATCCGATGGTGCATTGGCCGGTTTTCTAGGTGATTTGCAGGATTTTGTGACGCCACCACTGATGAACAGTAAATATCGTCCGCCCAATCTGGTACGATGTCCTATATTGTGGATTGCGCGGGCCACGTGAAATGGGCAAGCCTGTATCTGGGTCGGTGTCGTCACAACGGCAGCCCTGCCGTTTCTTTTCGCGTCATGCTGACTGCGGGCGTTTCTTGCCGGCGATAAATTCGCACCGACGGGAATCGCCGGTCCGGCAGCTACACGAGCCGGATGACAAGTTGCCAGCCTGCAAATACCGGTATGGCAGGTTTTGATGTGGTCAGCATGGCGCAGCAAGCTGGCCGTGCTGACGGCCCCCATCATGGTGGCGCCTCAGGGGGGTTGGTTTGCCTGAGGAGAACGCTTGCCGCGCTTCTTCCTGCTTACTGTTAAAAGATGACCTGTCCTGGATGCGGATGAAGATATCTCTCGTGAGGGCGGTGGGAGAAAGGAGACCTGCTGGTGGCCCTCTATGAACAAAAGCTGCTCATGACTTTTGGCGAGCAGGCGGCTCGTGTGTGAAATCCTCTGTGTGAGCCTGCGGCACCATGGCCGATATGATGGACCGCCCTCGTCTTTCTGGCACTTCGCCTGGGCCTGGGGATGCGCCGATGTCGGCAAATGAGAACTACTTGCGGTCGAGTGGCGACATCATCAAAGAGTATCTTGGGGAAAGGAACCTTTTCCCTGATGCACCTGGGGGTTCCGGTGGAGAGCCTCCTTCCGAAGCCCAGAAGGCGGATGCCAACTCGAAGAGGTCGGATCCTGACCTCATCAGGGAGTACCTCGGGGAGCGCAGAATCCTCTCTAATTTGTGCCAGGACTCCCCTGAAGACTCCTTGCGTCGAGCTGAAAAGGAGCAGCAAACCACAGAGAGAGCGGAGGCCGCCGCTCCCGTCCGGCAACCCTTTTCAGACAGCAGTTGGCTAGACAAGTTTTTAGATGAGCGGGATAAGGAGCTCGATTTGGTGCTGGAGGCTTCGGATAACGAGGACGAGTTTGCTGTGAGCTTGGAGGGGTCGTGGGTTGCTCATGATAGCAGCAAGCCCGCGCTCGTACCTAAGTCGCATCTCATTGCGAGGCCCACGAGCATAGCGGCCGAGGAGTTAGTTGCCAGGCATAAGAGGAGCCTGGAGGTGCATTGCGGGGTTGATTATAACGACTGGACGAGTGTTGCTCTTCAGCCCGCAAAATCGGACAGGAAAGTAGAGGCAGATGAGAATGTGGGCCGTGCAGCGCCAGGTGGCGCGCTGTTAGTGGAGGAGATTCTGACAGACGACTTTGACAGCAGCTCCGCATGCAGCAGCGACGACAGCGAGGAGACGTGCGCCAAACCTACTTCTTGGGCCCTGTATGGCTCATTTGAGGGGATCACAGGTGCCAGGGGACCTCGACAGGTGTCAGATTGTGGCGGAAGCCAGAAGGATCCGGGTAGACTAGAGCGGATGCCACATTTCTCGAGCGAGCAAAGCCTAAATCCAAGTGCAGGTTTGAAGGTTCAGAGGACCCTTGAGCGAGCCGTTGTTCCAGAAGAAAGAGCAGAAGTCTCACATTTGTTGAGCAGGCCAGATGTTTTTGGGTTGATGAGGTCCCCGTCCGCGGATAGGGAACTGTACAGTGAAGTCGTTAGGGCCACGGAACGGGGGGCGAGTCAAGAGCGGGAGAGGATGGATGCGGTGCTGTCTGGTGAGCACGAGTTACCATTTTTTCTTGTTTTTGTCGGCCTGCTCTCCTCTTTGTCTTGGTTAACCATGTAAACCTTGCAGCTCAACAAGTGGAGCTCTCAGCAGCTCAAGTTCTGGCACAGGATTGGTATTCAGAAGCTGAACTTCTAGTGTGGAAACGACTCTGAGGAAGACATCTGGACTGACTTTGCATTGAAGTGCTGAACCGGAAAGCCACATTATAGGTGTGAAAAGGATAAAGGGACATGTAATGCAGGGTGTAGCAATCTACCTGACATTTTTCTTTCTTTGCATTCACCCTGACGAGTTTTGCAGGGGACTCGTACGTGTCTCGTAATGTGGGTTTTTCGAACATGCATCTGGCGCTTGGCTGTCGATCCAGGAAGTCTGCTCATGCCCCCTAGCATTTCACCCCTAGGGCTTGACGTGTCTAGACCATGCTACGTGCTTGGAACCTGCATTACGTGCTGTTAGATTCTTTCCTTGTACAACATTACTCAATTTCTTTCAATCTTTTGACACTGAGCACCTGGGCACAAAACCCTTACAGCAGGAGGACAACAAAGTTGAGCAGTCTGAAAAAGAACTCCTCGTCCCTTATGCTTGCGTCCCTGAGACCCGCTGTCCAAACTTCCAGCATTCATCTGATTCTGCCAGCTGGCACGGCTGGTCTTAATTGGGAGCTCTTGGGAAGAGCATTGTGGGCGCTTGTCTTTTCCATTTTCAGCAAGCCTCGACTTTGTTACTTGTGAACCTCTTGGAGACAGTACTTGCTGAAAGAGGCCTCCCGCTTCTGCTTTTTGGATAAGCCTTCTGTCAAGCCCCACTGCTAGATTGTCACGATTTGCTGTTCACTATCAGCGCACCTGCCAAGCATATCACACTTCTGTAAGGCAGGTCACAGTCTTTCACCTTTCTGTGCCTCTTTACGAACATTGTGCCTTGCTTCCCTATCGAGGCTGCCTCAGCTTTGCGGAGGTGCCTGCAAATTGGAACCCAGCCTACTCCCCTTTGCAGCCACTGTCGCAGCAAACCGGACCGGGGCAACCCGCATGTCGTGGAGCCTCGCGTTTGCAAACCCGCAGCTGGAGGAGACCTACCGGCGGTCGCACATTGCGAGCGGGGGGGATGCGGACTACCTGTGTGCAGTCTTGAGAATCTGGTTCTCGGTGCTGCACCTCTACATGCTGGCCCGCCAGTTCTCGATCTTGAAGGAGATTCGCTGGGGGGTAAGAATGCTCACCAAATCTTGGGCGCCTTGATGCTTGTTCTTCGCTTGGCCAGTGTCGGTGTTTTGTAGGGGGGTTGAGAATCTGCAGAGGTTTGCTGCATCTGACTCTGTTAACATTTGTGAGCGAAGTGCTGTGACTTCCATTGCGTCTGGATTTTTGAGGGAGTTACTGACTCTGAAGGCTGCACATCCCACTAAAGGCTCCCAGGATGCACTGCGCCTGACCTCGTGTAAGCCCAAGCCTGGCTGCTCCTTTCTTGTTGCAAGAGAAAACATGCCCTGCTTGGTGAACTCACTTCTTTGTATCTGGTGAACCTCACAATGTTCGTTCAGACTTTTGGTAACCCCTTTCTGGAATGTTTTTATTCCAGGTTGTGTCCTCTTGAATCTGGTTAGCTGTGATTATGTTGGCATCTCTGTATTAATCCAGGTCTGGGCCTAACCTTGATGGCCTCTTTGCTGCAGTGGATTGCGATCACAGCACCTGGGAGGCCCCTCCTGTCAACCAGCTTGGAGTGGAACATCGCAGGACTTGTCCTCATGTCGGCGTTCCTCTACATGCACCTGTGCCAGCGCTCATGGTGGGCTATTCTCATCTGCTTTTCTCTGCCTTAACCGAAGAGGAAATTGGTTTATGTGCTCGGGGTCAGTCTGAAGATCTTTATGCTTGGGGGCCGCCTGTTGGGATGGGGGACTTGTGATGCGCGTTTGACTTGAAACTTTCCATGGTGCACAAACACTGGAGACATCCCTTGCGTTTGTTGTAGAACTGCGCTTGCCTTTAACGCCTTTCTATACGCGCTTCGCATCGGCCCTCACCATAAACGCCCCAACTAACCTCACTCCGTCGTTGCGACCTCTACTCATACAAACACGGGCGTAAGGAAACAGATTAACACCATTACGCAATAATGCTCAAGGTGGGCCTTTTTGTTTTCCTCAGGTGGAACAAAAACCGGCTGGCTCTACTCTCTGTGTATCTGACTACGGTTTGGGCCCTGGAGGTTTGGTATACGCTCGCCAGTCAGGATGTAAGTCGCCACTTCAAAGGCCTTTTTGCAGATTCGATGGTTCTATGCTTCGTTTACGCAATTGTCTGGGGCTTGCATACGCCTCACTGTGGGTAGCATCAACAGCCAGTAAACTGTGCGCCGGAAAGACTTTGTCGTCTTTCTGTTCATAGTCTCTTGCTAAGTCGCTTGAGGGCAGATCTTCTCGTCTCTCTGTCAGTCCTCTTGACATTGGGTTGTTCGACGCAGGCTAAGCCTGGGTATTTATTCCTCCTTGTTTTGATATTCGCTTGCCTGAGCTAACTAGAGGTGCGTCTTTTTCCGCTCTGCCAGGCCCCGGGCTACCGCCTCGTCCGACTGGGGTCCCCCGCCTTCTTCATGACCTTTATGTACAACGTCCCTTTCGTGTGAGTCGACACGGCTATCCTTTCTCATCGCGCCTTATCCCACTCCCACTCCTTTTGTTCTTCTGCTCTTTGCGGTTTAGACAGTCTCATGACCTGGTGAGACTCGCGTGCGGGTTTGCTCAGGTCCATGCACACGCGTCGGTGTTTCGTTCTGTGATTTGCTGCAAGGCATGTCAGAGTCCGTCCAGGGAAAGTACCATATGCTATCGATTTGCTCCAGTAAAATGGCAGTCGAAACGAAGTCTCGATTGCTTGTGTGATTCAAGGCTGGAGAGCTATTTCGCATTCAATAGTTGGGCAGAACATCAAGAAGCAGATATCCAGGCGTCACCATTTCGTGGTGCAAACAGGGAATCGCCCCTGTTGGATGCTCTGGTCCGAAGCGTTGATAGGTCGAACGCATCAGGTCTAGCGAGGATCCAGCGGAATGAAATTCGCTCTTGTATGGCTTCACTAATTCTGCAAGCGTTCAGGCGAGGGGTCGATGATCCTGTGAGTTCGTTGACAGGTGTCTGGAATGAAAGGCTTGACGACTCAGATTTGAGTCCCCGGTCCTTGTTAATAAGGATAACAAATGCCGACGATACATGGTCAAAGTTGATTGTTGGTCGGCACCTGTCACATTTCCGTCAAGATTCACCTCACGAATCGTCGCGAACCGTTTCCAGATCTTTCAAGAAGACACCCTTTCCGATTTAGAACGAACGAGAGACGCTTGAGATGTTTGGTTTGCAACTCACCATCTCTCCCTTAATCGCTGCAGCCTCCACATGCGCTTCCGCGTCCTGCTTCTGTTGGCGCAGCTCGCGGCGTTGGCCGCACGCCAAGACGCTGCGCTGTGCCCCTGGATCGTCCTGTTCCATGTGCTGTCGTCAGCAGTCGCGTATCTCCTCGACCGCCGCTCCCGCCTCGCGTTCGTCAAAAACCTCCCCCCCTGCTTGCTAAACTGGTGGGGCGATGACCGGGGTTCTTTTGTTGGGGGGTCAAGTTCGACGTCGTGGATGGGCCGTGAGAGTAGGGGTTCTGACGCGCAGTCCAAAGGCGAAAGTTACGGGTTGGGGGGGCGGGCGAGGAGAGTCCCGGGCGGGATTTTTGCAGAGGAGGGGCAACGGGGGGTCCGTTTGGCTGGTTCCCTGGGGGGGGAAGGCGGGGAGAGCTCGGGTTTTGAGGATCAGTTGCGGGAACGGTTGCGGCAGAGGAGGCCGTCGCTTGGCGGTTTTGCCGGGGGCTTTGCGGGAGTTGGGTGCGTAAAGTCGGGGCACGTTGCTTACGGGACGAGGCTCGCACATGCGGGGCTGTCGAAAGATAGTCAAGGTGAACAGGTGGCGTAAGCAGAGCGGTTTAGACATTGGTTCCGTGGGTTGTAGAATAGCCATCTCGGTAGCTTGCTTTTCTTTAGCATAGCTGGTATTGACGGTCCACACCTCCACAGACAAGACCACGCGAGATCACTGAGTGCTTTCTTTACACTTCCAAGATTCGGGAAGGCTTGCAAAAGCTAAAACATTGCCCACGTTTCCCTAGATAAGACACCGAGTAATGTAGGCCCAAACTATTGGAGGCAGTTCTCGTCCAGATTAATGGGGCAATTCCCGCACAGGCTAGGCTCGAATAGCGCTAGGTGATGAAGTAACAACAGAATTTGCAGCTAGATCGTTCTCCTATCAGAGTCTTTGTCAACGGGCATTATTCAGTGCCCAGTGCTTGGCCGCGCATGTTATATCTGTGGATTGCATCCCTTTGGAGGGTTGGAGGGCATCAGTGTGGTGTCGTGACGTGCTTGGATCGAGTGCAGGTTGTGCATGTGTCGTCTCGTTCGCACATCTTTGGGAAGCAGCAGATGAGGGCGGCGCTGTCTTTGAACACTTGCATCATGATCGCCAGAGCGCTATCATGTGCATACTGGAATTTGGAAGACGGTTTGCTCATGTGGATGCTATAGCTCAATAACAATGGATGCACTGTGCAGCATGCATATTTCTGCGTCCAGTAGGAGGCTGGCGCCCCATGTGCAAGCGCTTATGAAGAAGCTTAAGGCTGTTGGCTTATGAGCCCCACGGGCCGCGCGGCCGGGCTCTGGCTCCGGCGGTATAGGTACCGGCCTAATTTTGAGCGGCTGTATAGGGGGTCGGGACGTTGAACCGGCCATAAAGCTGGCATAGCTGCGCCCCTTATATCATCTGCGTCCATTCGAATTTTGTGACCATCTTTTCGACGTACCTATTTATTCCACGATCGGACGGCACACAGCCTGCCTCGACTGGATCCAACGACCTTTAGCGCTCGAAAGAGCACCACCAGCTTTCTGATCAATGACAATCAAGAGATGACACACGCAGAGTCTGAAGTCTGACTCCGAAGACTGTTCGAAGTCTGAAAGTGGAACAGCATGCATGTTGTCTCGTGAGTCTTTGTGTGAGAGACAAGATTCAGAATCAAAGCGATCCCCCCTGCCAGTTTGCATGCCATTTGGATAATCCATGGTGTCCACAAAGATTGGAAATATCGTATCATAGCAGATGAGGTTTTGTAATCACACAAAGACAGTGCCCTGCCTTCATCTGGCTGCCCGTTTGCGAGCTACGGGAGTAGATTGGTTGATTCAGTGGTGGTTAATATCATCATTCAGGCCTGCGGGGATGCTGTGGCCACCGGCTGGGAGATAGACTGACGGACCGTCAGTTCTGGCCCTCTCAAATGGTCTGAAGAAAGAGTCCTGAGCCCAGCATGTGCTTTGTTGAAATGTTGGGCTGTTGGCATAGTATCAGCATTCCTTTCCGAATGTGATTCATAGGGCCAGCTGATCAAAGCATTTGAAACCGTTTTTGCTCACTAATCCCGATCGTTGCATAGGTCGGGTCCTTATACACATCTTCAGAGCCCTTTGGACACAAGATTTTGAACTGGTCTTGGAGCAGCGCCCTCTGTTCGGCAAGACCTGGTCTTGCGTAGCTTGTCAGAGACAGAACTGGTTTCGACCATCTTGCCACGGGGAATTGTTGCAGAATTTGCAGCCTTTGGCAAGCTGAGCTCAAGAAAAAAGCAAAATGGGGATGCTGGAGATGAATGATCGAAAAAGTAAGTCTCCAAAGTGGTCTGATGACAAGGTGGCATGAATCCTGCCCCTCTCGCATTGAGTAGGTCGGTCACCTCCGGAAGGTTTCTGCTCTGACAACGTTCTGAATTAACCGCCCCGTGCCTTTCAAATCCTCGTTTGTAATTGCAAGCACCTGTACTGCCCTGGTGGTCTGTCTAAAGTCACTGACTGTGCAGAGAACTTTGTTGCCTAAGACGTAAATGCAGCATTCGTCGCTTGTGTATGTGGAGCTGCTCCGTATGCATGGGTTGGACCAAGACATTCCGCCTGAATCCCTGCAGAAATTGGCCTTGGCTTGACGGGCTTTGGAGTACTCTTCACATTCCTGGGGGTTATTTTCTTCTTCGACAAAGGCCTCCTGGCTATGGGAAATGTAAGCTTCTCCCCAGATCTCAGATATGACCGGAAGACCTTTTATGCTGTGCCCTGAGAGAGTTTCTGATCCTTCTTCCTTCCTATTCAAGGAACTTCTGGTACTCGGCAAATTGGAGCAGTCTATTGCTCAAATTGTCCCCGCTGGGATAACATTAGGGTTTTAGAGCTGGTTGTTAGCGACGAATAGCTGCAGTTGATATTCCTAACCCAAGTCCTTTGATTGAGTGCGAAGTTTCGAACCTTATCTCTCTACCGTGTGTAATTTTGCTCAACCAAGTCCTAAGCAAGTTTTACCTTTCTAACCTCAGCCCCTCTGATTGAGTGTAACATTTCCCATTTCCCATTTTTTGGGTGTAACCTTTCCACTCATGTCCTCTCTCACCGAGCGTTTTTGGACCCAGATCCTCTAATTGAGTGCAGGTAACCTTCTAGATCAGAAGTTCAGGCTCTGATAGAGTGCGATCTTCCTCACACGAATCCTCACCCGAATCTTCTAATCGATTGAACCCTTTCTAACTCAAGTCCTCCGCAGTAAGTCTTCTCATGGAGTAGAACCTGTCTTTTCAACCCCTCTGATCGCACTTATGTATGGTGGTGGTGCAGATTCTCTTCCTCTCTGGTATGACCCTCACAATCGGATTCAAGTCCACATGGAACATATTCTTGAACAAGCGGAATCACAGGGTGAGTTCGAGAAACTTCCATGTACAGGGAGACCTGACTAGGAGCTCCAGATTTTGCACAGTTGTTTGGAGCAATTGCAAGCTGGTCATATATGCGCGTGCTAATCCGGTCAACTTATACTGCCAGTTATAAATCAAACACATGCCTAATTGTTTCTTTGCAGGGTTCGGCAGCTTTTCTGGGGGGGCTTTTTCTCGTACTAATAGGATGGCCCTTCATCGGCATGATTGTAGAAGCATATGGTTTCGTCTATCTTTTCAGGTCAGTTCTGAAACGCCATCATATCCCCCTTCCCTGGCCTGTTAGTTCAACACAGCTTGGTTACTTGCATAAAACGGTTGAGTGAGTTGGATTGCGAGAAGCATGCATCTTGCAAATTCTGGTCTAGAAGAGGTGTTACAGAAGACTTCAGCAATCAAGAACGGCTTTTGGCGTCTTACCGAGTTCTGAAAGTTCAGCACCTTGTCTTGACGTCAGCAACTGGCAACCTTACAAACCAAGTCATCAGTTCATTGCTTTTTCGTGCAGCGGTTTCTGGCCCACAGCACAAATGTTCTTGCTACGAGTCCCTGTTTTGGGCTGGATTCTTAATCAGCCGTTTTTCCGACAGGTTGGTTGGCAGCTCTCGTTCCCTTTTTCATCTATCTTCGCACATGTGTGTAGGCTTGACTATGATGTTTTGTTGGGACCAAAATCGCTTAGTGACTGAGGCCATCGTGTTGGAGAGATTGTAATGATCAGGTGCTTTGCGTGGCCGTTCTAGCAAGCTCTCGTTAGTTTTGTCACATCCTATACCTGTCCTCGTAATCCTGAAGTCTCGAAGCCATCGTTTCTGCCCTGCAGTTCGGCATCCGAAAACAAGAAAGAGTGACGGTTTGACACTGTTGAAACGAACGTCTACCTCTATAACGACGGCCAGTCGACCAGCTGGAAAAGGAACGCCAGAGTGGCATTGGTTCTGTTGTGAGCCACCCCAATCTCTTGCAGCCGTCACACCTCGAACTTCATCAGGAATCATCAGTGCTTTATTTGTAAGCTGTCCGACCATTACGATCCGACGGATGCAAGGACGGAAAGCCGGAATTGGCGGGTATACCTTGCTAGTGCATGTTTGATGTTATGTGAAGTTGAGTTCGGGGCCCGGGTTCTGGTCCTTTTAAGTCCACCACTTAAAACCAGTTTACACAAGTTAGCTTTGGTTGCACTATGTTGAGATGTGAAGTCCGATACCTCAATCTTCTTCTGACAATGCCACATGTGGTTGACGCCTTTACACGCGTTGGAACTGATACTTACTTTGATACGGGTGTCATGACCAGGCTTCTTTAAAGCTGATTGCAAACGGGCCGTTGATGTACGGACTTAGCTCATGATAGGGTGCATTTCTCGTCTCCTGCTTTTGGAGGAAGACCCCAAAGAACGGTACGCATAACATACCGCGCGAACCTCAACGCTCCTTACTACCGCCAAAGTTCCGACCCCCATATCAATGCTGCCGTTGCATTGTGGCACATGCATGTAATGCCCAACAATTAATGCACAACAACGAATACTTCGACAATTGTGATTAAGTAATACATCGCGTGCATTCGACAAGACGCTGTAGGCTGTTCCCAATGTAGTGCTATGCGTCGCCACCCAAGGTTTATAAAAGATTTGTGTAAATGCCCGGCATGAAACGCGGTTAACAGTTGTCAGCTGCACTTCTCAAAGTCTCAGGTGCTTTCAATCTTCCGTTATATTATACCTGCATATTTGTGACGACACCCCGGCTTGAATATCCTTAAATCATGATTCGAAGCAGCGGGCGAACAAAGATGCCAATAATGCCGAAGACGACAATGTTGAACACAAAATCATGGTTGGAGCTGGCAAGAGTCCAGCTGCGATGCGCAGCCATGGAGGTCCCCTTTATATTTGGGGAGTTAATCCTAGGAGGGTTAACCGCCCTTCGCCCGCAGCCATGGTCCGCATGGATGTCCCCTGCATGGAGGCTTCTTCCTGCCTCTTGAACCTCTCTTGCAAATGCGCGCGTACAATATTACTAGTTCGCAAGGTGATAATCCGTCAGATGTGCAGAGCCGTCAGAACAGCGTCACGGCGAGCTACAAGTAGTGTCAAGATTGGCAGCGACTTTGGCCCGATGCCGTAGGGCAGAAATATCGCCAGCGTTTCTACTCGTGGACCGCCGGTTTTCGCGGTAACGCGAAAAGAACGTCGAGAGGCCGAGAAGGAAAGCACGGTACCATGCGCAATCTGCGAAAAGCTGTAACTTCCACTGGAAGCTGTGACTCCGAGTTCGGGCTACCACACGTCCTGCAAAACTCCTGGACCTTGCGATCTTGCCAGTGCCGGTGGCAGCAGCATCCGCTCCGATCAGCTGCCTTCCTCCGTGTAGTACCTACGTCCAACTGCAGCAAGTCTTGGGGATCCCAAAGAAAAAGGCGTCTTCTGCGAATGCAGCAATATTTGGGAGTATAATCTGCTCGTACACCTCCGCAGACTGCACCCAGTCAGATTCTCTGCAAATAGATCGTCGCAATCATGAGTGCTGACTACTTACAGATGCAGGAGCCGGTGAGGCTGGCATCCATTTTGGAGGAGAGCCACCAGGTCAGGAGATCCTCCTTATTCTGGTCTTGCCCGTGTGCAGCATTGAAATGACGTAATGCGCTTCAGCTTGTGCGGTTTCTGGGATCTTGGTGCCCTTTTCCAGAGACGTTCATTGATAGGCGCACTGGATTGCTTCCCTCAATTGTTAACAGATCTGCTCTTCACAGCATTGGTGCCAGCTCAACTGTGCCCGGGTTTCTGCAGAAGCAATTATGTGCACAGCATTTTGTTATTGTTCTCACGTGCTTCTGATATTCAGCATTTTGCAGCTTTCTCCTGGAAGCTCTCTGACAGATTGTGTAAGCTGTTGCAGTTGTTAGATCTAGACTATCAAACCACCAGAGCTGTCAACAGCTGTTCCCAGAGATTGAAGGTTTCCTCTGTGCTTGATCCACTCAGTCTGTCTGTCAGACCATAGAGCTTCTCGACACATTTTCGATCTAAATCCGTGTTTGTCATTATCATCGAGGAACAATCTTATTTGCTGCGGTAAAGTACGTCCTTTCTGCCTTAGCATTGCTTGTGGAGGAAACTTCTTCGTGATATCTCATCCTGACTTGGTTGATGGTACTCGCTTCAGTAACCTGTACCCAAAGCCTTCTGGAAAACATCGTCGGAAAGGAGAGAGAAAGTACATCAGTGCCACATATTTATGGGCAGGTCTCGTTTTGATGAGATGTTCGGACCCTCAGAGTGGTAAATCCCATGCGTGGGGCATTTAGAAAATCTAGAGGAGAAAAAGTTCTGCAACATTCAGATCTCTTTTAGTACCATGGTGTGTGTTGACTTTTGGATGTTCTCGAAATGTCACGTTCTGAGGTTCGGGCCCTATTTTCAATCAATCAAACGCCATTGCTTTATTGTCTCATGCATCTGAACCTACCGCTAGCACTTCAGCCGAAGAAACTCTCTTGCTTTGCGCAGTGAAGTACTGCACTGACCTTCTCAATCCTGATGTCATCAAGCGAACTTTCGGCGTACACCACTTTAGATCATCACCTCCCTGAATGGAAAAGGTTGCCCTCCCAGTTTTCCCACTGTTCTGTTTCCAGTCAGACAAGCACAGGGCGTCTCCCCTCTCCCTCACCAGGTCAGCCCTGACTTTCGATCGCTCCTGTCTTGTGCAGAATCTGCCCCACGCTTACGTGGCACAGACCAAAATCATCGCGACTGTTGGCAATGAGTCACGTTCAGTAGAGAAGATCGAGGAGCTGTTAAATGCAGGCATGTCAGGTAAGACCCAATGTAGCCCTTGCAATCATCTGCGATTGTCATTCTGACAAACAGCGTTTGATTGTTGAAATGGAGTGTCCATCATCCAAGTGGCAAAGTAAAGATTCCTGGCCATGCAAGCGCTTGAGAAGCTTCGTCAAACACCTTTTAAGGCAGGCGGATAGCGAGGAAGAGCTACCATGCAGACAGATTGTCTCTGTTCCTGCTTCTTTTTTTAGGGTGGTCAGCGATAACCATGCTTGGCACTAAGAAGGATAGGTTGGGGGCCACCACTTGTCCGAGCCCTTTCTAATGCAAACAACCGGGTTGAAGATTGCTGCCAGCTTGATTGATGTAGGTTGAACCTTTGCGTCAAAATAGCAAGGAACCACCGCAAGCATGCAGCCATGTGGTAACTGCTTCATAAAAGCTACATGACCCCCCCCGTTTGGATGAAGACAAAACCCCCGCCCTTTAGGCTGGCTCGCTTCTGTGTACGGCGTTTTGACTGCTCGCTCCGCTCTGTTCTCACTGAGTTGTTGTGCTGTCCTCTCAGTTGCTCGGTTCGACTTCAGCTCAGGCGATGCTGCCTACCACCAGGAGACTTTGGAGAATCTCAAGGCCGCTGTCAAAACCACTAAACGCCTCTGCTCCGTGAGTGCCCTGTCCATATCCAAAGGAGAATCTAAATGCTTTTGCAAGAGTGGCGGTCAAAGATGAGGCAACTCTTCCTTCTGCCATGAATGACGATGACATTCACAGTCTCCGACTTCCTTACCACAATTCAAAGGAGAATCTCGTTTCTTTCTTTTTAAAAAAAGGTCGGCGAATGTGCAAGGTTGCAACTTGGTTATGCAGTACCTTTTCAGCTGTTCGGTACATCCGTTTCCTCCAAAGAAAGCTTGTCCAACCCCATCGGCTACCTCTCCCTCCGAATTGCTCGGAATGTATGTTCACACGCTCAAATCGAACATTTGCAGATTGATCCAGTATCATCCTGTAATCCTCTTTGGTCATTCTGGAATCCACATCGAAGCGCCGAGCTTGGTTACTCGAACCAACGTCTGGCGCAAGGTCCACGTTGTGATTCGTAATCTAACCTTGACATGTATTTGCTGCGTGTTGATGTTTGGTCCGTGTATGAACCCAACCCTTACTGCTGCAAGGTTATGTTTGATCCTTCTCTCATTCCCCATTTGGAACTGCTGCAGGTTATGTTCGACACGGTCGGCCCCGAGCTCCAGATTTACAACAGCAACGAAGGCCCCCTTCAGGTGACGTCGGGACAGACCATCATGCTCACGCCTGACAAAACAAAGGCGGCATCAGCAGCCATCCTTCCAACAAATTACCCGGGCCTTGCCAAGGTGAGACGTTTTACCATGGACCACTTCTAATCCTTCTCTACAAAACATTTCAGCATCATACCATGCCTCTCATTGCCCCAAAGACTCCTCGTTGCTGTGGCGCATCCATCCATGTCATGTGCAGAAAAATTTGTTAGGTGACAGGAAACGTCAGGAAATCCTGCACGATCGCTGTGGGCAAGGAAGCGGGAGGCGTATTCGCACTGCGGTTGGAGAAAAGTCGGTGGGGTGGAGCAAGAGAGATGATTTCAAATCAGATGGAAGCAAAGAAAGAGGAATCTCGCAGAAGAAGGTATGCTAACATTCACACTGTATTAAAAGAAGCGGAGAAGGACGAAGCGGCGGGAGAAGGAACGCAATCGATGGTCTCTCAAACGATGCCCCCTCCCTTTGCAGACCGTCAAGAAGGGCGACACGATCTTCGTCGGGCAGTACCTCTTCACCGGCAGCGAGACGACGTCGGTGTGGCTCGAGGTCGAGGAGGTGCGCGGGGATGACGTCATCGGGGTGTGCAAGAACGACGCAACGCTGCAGGGCGCGCTGCTGACGGCGCACACGGCGTGCGTGCGCGTGGACCTTCCAACGCTGAGCGAGGAGGACAAGAAGAACATCTCCACGTGGGGGCAGGCCAACCAGATTGACTTCGTGTCGTTGTCGTTCACGCGCACGGCGGAGGACGTCAAAAACGTGAGTGGAGTGGGCTTTGTGATCCCAGGAGTGCAGCTTCTTTTCTAAGCCTGTTTCGAGGGGCTATATGCACTAATTCGGGGTGACGGATAGAACAAACAGCTCTGCTACTTGCCAGCCCTCAGAAGCCGAGACTTCGTGCTGAACGACCTTTCTGTTGAGAACATCGAAGCTTGGTCCAGTGTGGACTGGTAGCACTCCAAACAACTTGGTCGAGCTTTGTAAGAAGTCTGCTGTCGCTTTGGGGGTGTCTTCGATCGTATTTCACTGCTCGGTCCCCGAATTGCGTTGAGCTAAATCTTGTCCAACTCCCAAAGAGAATGCTTTTGAAGGATGCTTTTGACGCACGCCAGTGCTGTGGTACCATAAAGCACTTCGGAAAGCCTCGTCGGCACGTTTGGTGTATGCTGACGCAGTGCAAACATGGCCTTTGGCAACCGGGGCTGATTCGTTTACTTTCTAGCTCGTTTGAGGTGTTGGCTTTGCAAACCGGAATGTGGTCACCGCCTTAACTCATCGTTAATGGCAAGGCCCATGTTGGTGACAGTCACGCTGACGCAGCAGGCACGTGCCAAGGTGGCAGACAGCCCTGCTGACGTCGTGCGCGCACGTGCAGTGTCGGGAACACCTTTCCAAATGCGGGGAACTGTACCAGACCCACGTGCTTGCAAAGATCGAGACCCTGGAGGTGAGGGACTTAGAATCTAGGATCCTCGCACAGCCCTGACTAACTAGATTGGCCGACTGAACCCCCTGCAGTGCCGTGACCACCTCGAGAAGTGCGGAGAATTGAGACAGACTCAGGTGCTCGCAAAGATTGAGAACATCGAGGTGAGGAGAGAGCTTCTGTAAGATCTGGCGGTGGCCAAGCGAGGAGGCGGCCACACATCAGATTTGCACGGGGTTAGTTTCAACGTGTCGGGGTTCAGGATGTAGTACTAGTTTTCGACTTTTCCATCTTAGCTGGCCTTTTCCCAATTGCTTGAATGGATGCTCGGAGAGCAGTTATTCCAGCGCGTCCTGCCATAGGAAACTGTTTGCTCCACGGTCGTTCCAATCACTGCGCACATTTTGCATCTCAAAGAGGCCATAGCACGGGTTCAAAAGAATATACTCACAGCAGCACGGTAGATCTGGCGGGTCAACCTAATCTGCTAGCAACGGAGTTTGGGGAACTCGAAAGGTTTCCTTTCTCAACTCTCCACAAAAAATGCTCAGCCCCGCATCACTCTAGACTCTAGGCCTTTGTTAGACGTCGTCAAGTTAGTGGATGTCAAGGTATCTGCAGTTCCTCACTGCTGATTGGCCGTCAGTCTACGAGCCAAAGGCAGTCAATCCCTTTTCGCCGGCTCCTTTTCCCGCGCCCCGTTTGTTTCTTTGTCTTGCTCAGACCTCCGCCCTGCATCTCATTGCATCGTGGAGTCACGCCTCTCTTTTCGCGATGCGCGTGCTTGACAGGGCCTCTCGAACTTCGACAAGATCCTCGCGGAGGCCGACGGGATCATTCTGTCGCGGGGCAATCTCGGAATCGATTTGCCCCCCGAAAAGGTATGCGCGCCGCGCTTTCCTGAGCCTCCGCCTCTCTCCCTCGCTTAACCCTCTGTTAAACCCTCGCTTAACCTAGGGCCTGCGCAACTTTGACGAGATCCTGGCTGCGGCTGACGGCATCATCCTCGGGCGCGGGAACCTGGGCATCGATGTCCCTCCCGAGACGGTGCGTTGCTGGGCGGAACTCTTGAGTGCTCGTAGATCCGCTTCGAAACAGACTTTCTAATTTCATTGCAGATGACTGGGCAAACTGTACTCACGTCTTGGGTCTGCTTTGGCGTTGAAACAGACTTTGCTTCTTGTGTGTGCGTAATGCGGTGGATTGTGGCGTACTTGGGCCAAACAATGGAAACAGATTATGGTTGCGCTCTGTGCCCCTTACGCTGTGATTTTTCAGGGTCTGCGTGGTTGTGTCTGTGGAAGACCAATTCCTGATCACTGAGAATCTCTGCACGCTGTTGATCCAAGAGCTCTCGTCCTCAGGACGCCCAGATTATCTTTGCTGTGACTCGTCTGTTCATACGCTGGTCACGGTGTAATCTCGAAGAAGTGCGCACCAGCCTCGAAGGTGCTCATCTGCCCTATTTGATCCGCTTCGGTTGTTTGGAGTTACCGACCACTGGTTATCCGATCTTTAGCCCAAAAAGGCTCGCTGCTTTACATCCGAAAGATTTCCATCTGAGAATTTTTTACGGAGCTTTGAGATGGGTTACACCACCTCACTTGTGTTGCAGCGTCAAAACGGAGGATGAACTTCCCCACCTCAAATTTGAACTTCCGCCCAAAATCTACCTCAAATCGTCCACCCTGTCACCCTGCTCCAGCCCAGCCCAAATCTCTCAGCCTGCTCATACTAGTTCATTCCTGGCCCAGGTGTTCCTGTTTCAAAAGCTGGCCATCCACCGGTGCAACATGGCCGGCAAGCCGTGCATCGTCACCCGTGTCGTTGACACCATGACAGACACGCCCCGGCCGACGCGCGCAGAGGCGACCGACGTCGCGAACGCCGTGTTGGATGGTGAGTGGCACCGAATTTTCGTACTGTTAAGGGTTTTCCTATCCTGGTTTTCTGGTCTCATGGATGGCCGCTTTCTAAGGTAACTTGGATCATTATAGTGTTGGGAACAAATTGATTGGTAACCTCAACTTGCTTTCAAGATACTCGGTTCCCAGCTGATACCGATACTAGATAGAGCTGACTGCTTCAAATACTCCATTCTCGCTTTTTCTTTCTTGTCAGTGCGCGTTGGAGAAACATCGCTCTTTCGAACCCCTCAAAAGTGCCCCACATTTCGGTGCTGGATGCTGCTATTCTGCCAACTGTGTAGCTTCTGAGCGGGTTCCGATTGTGACGACACGGTTGGTTGGCGAGGTGCCCTGCGTTGCCAGGATGTAAGCAGACTGGACGGGCTTGTGTTCCGTTATCAAATCCGGACCGCTGAGTTGCAAAAGTTCCCGTCTAGTTTAGGTTGCATTTCGAGTACACTTAAAAGCTTTGCCCTTTGCAACTGATTGAACAAGTGAGGCACCATTCCAACTAACCACTGACCATGATCACTAATCAACTCTCGGCCCTAGAGAGTTGGTGACTTGAGCGGCCGTCATGACGTCTACAGCCATCAGCTTTTTTCCGTCTAACTTGAGTTTATGTGCCTGACTCCTTTAAAGTGGGTTGCAATCATGTTGGGTGCTGAAATTCCGGGTGCTATACCCAGTGGAAAGCGTGATCACGGCTCAAAGATCTGTTCTCCATAAGCCAAAATCGAGTCCACTAACCCCAACGACTGGTTCTGCAGGTTGTGATGCAATCATGTTGGGTGCCGAGACTCTGCGGGGGCTGTACCCAGTCGAAACCGTGATCACAGTCAGGAAGATCTGCGCAGAGGTAAGTTTTGGAGGCGTGTTGGCGCTCTGTGCGCTCGCGCTTGAGACATTTGAAGACATTTGCGGCCTTCAGGAATCGATTTTGAAAGACGAGACGTCCAATTGTTGAATTCGAACGGTGCAAGTTCAAGTCATGCAAGTTTTCGAACTCGACTTTGGCACTCCTTCGGAAGCTTCTTTTGATGTGGCGTGTCGGGTTTTGCACCAGCAGAGTCTTGTCGCAATACAGTCTTCATCGGAGTTCAGCACGACACAGCTCTGTTAACTCATCAATGATTTACAGGGCGGAAGTTTCGCTCCGCCGCTTGCTATAGGACAGTTGAAATGAAAACCGCACCCTCTGTTTCAGCGTTGACCCTAAGCCTTGCGTTACCAATCGACGCAGCGAACAATAAGTTCCATGCAGAATGAGAACGAGTAGTATTAGTCAGGGGACTGAGTGCGGGTGCGGACTCCAGAGGTGTAAACTTGTTGTCTAGGATCTTACTTAGGTCGAGCTTTTTGGTTGCTGAGCTTGTCGTATTCACTAGGTTGAGACGTACTTGCATTTCTCCCGCAGGCTGAGAACGTGTACAACCACAACTTGTACTTCAAGAGGATAGTCAAGGAGGTCGGCGTGCCAATGAGCCAAATGGAGTCCATCGCGTCCTCCGCAGTGAGTCACTGCTCGCTTCTTTGCTGACACGTGTCCCTTCCCCTAGCACATTGTGAGCCGTTCCGCAAGGGTGTTTTGGCACGCTGTATCGGAAGTTGGCCGCGGGAAAATGAAAGAAAGATGAAGGTCTGGTGCGGGGAAGAGAGGCGAAGCGGCAACTGCGGATAGCTCAATATGGCCTCCACCCCTATCCAAGCTGCGCTTCAAAGGGACCTACTTTCAGCGAGCATCAGACCACGGAATGTCGAATGTAGGGGTCTGACAATTCACTTGTCGCCAGGATTAAGGCAAGCACTTGAAGATCATGCAGATTCATTATTTGCGCGCTTTCTGAACTGGCGGGGGCTCACGCGCCGTCCCTTTGCTTCGGGGGTTCTTGATCTTCCTGTTCTCGCCTTTTACACTATTTTTCCGACCTGACACGGCCCTGTGCTCTCTGTCCAGTAAAACCCTAAAACCCTAAAACGCTAAACATCGCAAGTTGATTCCCGGTCGGACAGGAACCAGGTTTTTCTTTGTCTCCAGCAGGATCTTGAACAGGCCCGTTTCTACTGCGACACGAGTTCTCAGACCGGAACGCTCATGCGCTACACGCATCTTCTCTGACCCCGTCCACGCCTCACACGCTGCCACGTGTCCCCCCCCGCAGGTGCGCGCGGCCGCCAAAATCAAGGCGTCCGTCATCATTGTCTTCTCTTCCTCGGGGCGTGCCGCCCGGTTGATCGCCAAGTACCGCCCCGACATGCCGGTTCTCACCGTCGTTATTCCCAAGCTCACGACCAACCAGCTTAAGTGGACGTTCACTGGCGCCTTCCAGGTATTGAGTCTTCTAGCATTTTGTTAACTTGAGAGTTTTGGGTTTCCAGGCTGCCAAGATCTGGAACCTTCAGGTTTTCCAAACGTGGTTATCCCCAAACTCACCACCAACCCGCTCAAGTGGACGTCCACTGGCGCCTTCCAGGTATCGACTCTTCTAGGGTTTTACCGAGATTTGGAACCTTTAGATTTGTGGCCATCTCCAAGCTGACCAACGAACTCGGTTTGACGTTCACTGGCGCCTTTCCAGGTGTCACCTCCTGGTTTTGGCTCGTAGGGCCATAGGAGTGTTTAAATTCCCCAACATTCTTCCAAACAGATGGGGCTTTTGGCGTTACAGTTTCATTCAAAGCGCCCACATTCGCGGGCCGCAAAGCTTCTCCCCTTTCAGGCTTTCCCTTCAAAGAGGCTCGCCCTATCATGAGAAGCTTCCTTGTCCGTCCGCCATTCTCCTCAGATGGACCTTAACCGGCGCCTTCCAGGGTAGCGTATCTGGACTGTGCTATATCTGGACGCTTTCATTAACTTTCCGGCTCGGGCTTTGGATGTCAGGTCTTGGGTACCGGGCTTTAACGCCTCCCTCCCAATCTCTCTTGCCATAGAAAGATGCTCATGCCGTCCTGCTTTGCAAGTCCAGTCCGACTTGAGCGGAAGCTCACAACCTCCATCGTTGGACCGTTGTTGAGGTGACGAGAACCGCCTGGTGCTCAATCACAGTGTCGCCCAGAAGGGTAGCCAAGACTCCGGAAATATCGGGCTTCTAACATCATGCTGACGCCAGCAATGATCCTCGTTGCGCAGGCGAGGCAGTGCCTCATCATGCGTGGGCTATTCCCCATGCTTGCAGACCCGCGGCACCCGGTGAGAATTTCCTACCTTCTCTAGTTGTAGGAGCGTCCCCCGGTATGTTTTTTTCTGGTTTATTATGAACTCACACTGCCGGCCTAAGGGCTGCATGAAATGGGGAACCTGTACGTTTTCGCTCCGCAGGTCCAGATGAATAAGGTTGTCGTAACATCAGGAGTAGTAAGCTTTAGGAAAAGTAAGCTCAGAGCTTGAGACTGGACCCCTAATCTTTAGATTACCAGCGTCACAGATATTGCGGATTGATTGTGCAGGCTGACGGGAACTCAAATAGCAACGAGTCGATCCTCAAGGTGGCGATCGACTACGCCCGCAAAGCGGGGCTGGTTCACATCCATGACCGGATAGTTGTCTGCCAAAAGCTAGGTGACTCAAGCGTTGTGAAAATCATTGAGATCGACGATTAGCGTCGCGCTTTTAGCAGACGTTCCATCTGGCACATATAAAATTCAGCAAGAGTCAGGTTGCGTAAAGCTAAGTGTCCGCTCGGCCAAAAAATTAAGTTTGCAGCTGCTGGCCGCGCCCAAGGTAACAGTCCAGGTCGAGCCGCTTTCGGCGTTTTGCTCTCCATATAAAGCCGGTCGCATACAAGAGGCTCCATTCGAACAGAAATGCATTGGCGGCCGGCACTGATGGCTGTAAATCTTCTGTATCGAAGTTAGCATAATGCGCAAGCACTGATTAAGAAACATATCGTGTGAGCCCATGATAAGCAAGTATTGGAAGCGCGCCCGACCAGGCAAACTTTTGGAAGCTCGTCTGGCCCATCATATATGCAGTACCTACGGTCTGCAACTTGGATGCAACTTGATACAAAAGTGCATATATATGCCTATATTTGGCCGCGGCCACATACTACCTGATCTGAGGATCAGCAATTCATTGGCCGCGCTTGAGCAATTGCCAGATACTAAGTTATTGCAAGCCGCCTGACGCTGCGCTTGACGATAAATTAGCAATCAAGTCCACATCGGCCCGCTCGGCATGTGCATGAACATAAAATTTTCACAATTTTTCAAATGTTTCGCATTAATGTTGCTAATCAAGTTCGCATAGCTGGCACAGATGGTCCGACTGCATCGCACAATTTTAACTTAGATGGTCAACTTGGACTATAGTAGCTAGGCTTGCAATTCAGCCTTCAACGGCCAACTGGCGACTTTAACAGCAATTGTCTACCTGAAGAGGAGCTATCTTTTTTGTTGGTCGTGCCCGGCAGATGTATAGCCTACCATGCAGCTATGTGCCGGCACGACTTTAGCTAGTGGCTCTAGTCGAGGACTCGATATATTAAATCCTAAGATATCTTAGGACTCATGCAGGACCGTTCTTGTTACGTGCAATCACAGGCCGTATATACCCTGCACGTATATATGGAGATTTCAACATGTACGGTCCGTTCAAGACAAGGCCGGATTGAATGTATACTAGGGCGTACATCCGCGTCGGTACCTTCAATGTAGAACAACAGGTACGTACCGTATATGTACGAACTTAGCTCTGTATTCGGCCATATATATTGCAAATGCGTCACTGAATATATGCAGCACATGTCACCCTCCAGTGTTGAAGCATATGGCGCATGAAAAGTATGTAGACGTCGAGAATCGACCCTTTGCAGTAGGGGACTTCCGCATTACTGGGTTACATCAACTCGTCCAGCTGGCTCGTTGCTACATCTTGTAAGCCTCTTGAATCAGCATAAAACCTTTGGGCTTCTACTGCCAAGTCGCTTATCCGAGCAAAAGCACCTCGAGAGACAAACACTAGGACCACCATTGCTGGAGCGGCTTTCACCAGCAATAGCGACATGGGACAGCCAACAGTTCTTTGATCAATCTACCGAACCTAAGGGCCCTTCCTTAAAAGGAGCTCAACAATCTACAGGCGCAGCGACCATATTCGACATTTATTCAGCGCTCGACGCCTCACGGCCGGCACCAACATACCCATCACCGGTGCCTATTCCCAACCCTCCCCGAAACGCTCGAGCAGATTTACAAGTAATCTGATAACCGCCGCTAGAAGCCCATATCGCCCAAGTCGTCCAACCCAATCTTGTCTAGCTCCGCGAGCTCGTTGAACTGGTCGGCTCCTAGCCCAAAGTCCATATCAAACCCGCCGCCAAACGCATCGTCGCCCAACCCTGCAAAGTCGGGCAGCGGGAGCGCGGACAAGTCCATCGTCATGTCCTCAAAGTTCGAGGGGCCCATGTTGAGCGCGGCCGCCTGCTGCTCGGCCTCCGCCCGCGCCGCCGCCGCCTCGGCGGCCGCTGCCGCCTGCGCCTCCGCCAAAATGTCCGCCTCGCGCTCGCGCATACGCTCCAAGTCCAACTCCTTCTCCCCGCCAAACGTGCCGTTCGCGCCGCCCAAAACCTCGCCGAACGGCGTCTTGCGCTTGCCCTTGTTCACCGGCTTCTTCCGCGTGCGCTGGCCCTTGCTAGCCACCACCGGGAGCTCCTGCACCGCGTACTCGCCTGCGACTTGCCGCGCCTTCCGGTCGTCCTTGACGGCCAACGGAGCTCCGCCGGCGGAATTCCGGCCGCGCCGCGCCGCGTCCGTCGGCGTCGCGGCCGGCTCCTCGTCCTCCAGCGCGGGCGCGCGCGCCTTCTCCTCCCACTTGCGGTTGAGGCCACGTGGCACGACGCTCGCGCCGGCCTCGAACTCCGCGACCTTGCGCAGCGCGCGCCGCGCGCTCGCGAGGAAGGCTTCCTTCGCGGCGACCTTCTTCTGGGCGGCGCCCTTGCCGCCCTTGGAGCTCCCGGGGCCGAGCCCGGCCCGCGCGCCCTTGCGGCGCTCGTAGAGCTTCTCCAGGAACTGAAACAGCGCCCACTTCTCGCGCTCCCTGGAAGTGAATAACGGGAACTAATGAGGGAACTGCGAGAAAAGATTGGGAAAAGGAAAGGGGGGACTGATTCTCAGTACTGGAACCGCGCCCGTTTCACGTGTGCCCTGTGGGAATTCAACTGGGTATCTCAAGAATTCAGAGAGATGGTGAGAAACTATCTCCCCAGGAACTGGAACAGCGCCCACTTCTTGCGCTCCTGGTGGAAAAACAAGGGAAACTACAAAACAAAAGTGAAGCAGAGGAGGTGGATGTACTCGATGGAAAGACCCACAGAGAAATTAGGAATATGGTTGCGACGAGATGCGAGGAGAGGTCCGAGTTCGGAGTAAAGATGACGCCCAATTCTGGAACTACCTCACATTGAAAAAGGATTTGAAGTGGATTAAATTGAGGGGGTCACCAACTGCCCTTTCCGCACTGGACTGTCGTTCCCGAGATTGCTCAGCAGTCCTTCCTCCATCATGCAACGGTGCCACTTCCTGCCCAGACCTCCAGCAATGTCCACACTTCGCTCAAAACAGTACTCAATGTCGTTTTTCTTGTTTTCTCCTTTTATGTAAGCAATTTCTTCCTTCTTTTTCCCCCAAAGCAGCTATGATATGGGTTGTCTGGACGCATCAAGCATTCCCTGGTTTCCTCACCGCTCTTCATTGGGGCGCTCCGCGGCTGCCCGCTGTTCCAGCGCCCCGAGCCGCGCGTTGTCCTCGTCGAGCTGCTCTCTCAACTGCCGCTGCAGCGACCGCAGCTCGAAGCAGACAGGGTCGTCCTCGCGCGCCTCGGGCTCCTCCTGAATAACAACAGAGGAGAGGAAGATTAGGAGAAATTACAGCCTTTCACTTTCGGCGACACCAAACAAGAACACACAGATGTCCTCGCACGTTTCGTGCTCTCCTGGGACAACATTGGAGGGGAAAGACGCTTAGAAGGTTTTAATGTCTGTCACTTTCGGTGACACCAACCTTAAAAACTTATAGATGTCCTCGCGAGATTCGTGCTCCTCCTCAGACAAAGAAGGAGCTGTTAGAGAGGAGAGGCCTAAAGCACAACAAAACCTGTCACGTTTCCGGCCTCGAGAAAAGCTTCCGACAAATTTATCTCGAGGTTGTCTTCTCTGACAACCTCAATGTTAAAACAATCTGAACATCCTCAAACTTAGGTCATGAAACGTCATGCTCCCCTCCAGCACGAAAGTCTCAACAAGCTGAACGGAACGAGCAAGTGCAAGGGCAAACGATGATAATGGCTGTTAACCCAAAACAAGGCACCACTAAAGCAAAAGCATTGCCGGGCCGCCCACCTCTTTCCCGTCCACCAGCCCAATATTCTGCAGCTCCCACTGTATCCTCTCATCCAACGTCATCGCATCAAACTTCTGCTCCCACGCGCTCCGCTCCGGTGCGCCCTCTGGCCCCTTCGCCTTCTCCTCCACCCCCCCCTCGACCACATTCACAATGTCCATATCTTCATCGTCGCTTTCTAACACAATTGCCACGTGGTCCTGAACCGTTTCGGGGGGGTCAGCAGTACCCCCCCGTTCCGCGACGATCGCCGACGCCTCCACTCCCGGCTCCGCGGACCGTTGTATCCTGTCGTCGAAACCCCTGCTATCCGCCGCCGCCGATTCCGCAGCCCCCGTTCCGCCTCGGACGTTCCCCGCGCCTGTCAAAACCTCGGGCAGCCCAGGAATAGCGCTCGCCGATTCCTCGGACACTCCGAAATTCCCGCCGCTTCCGACGCCCTTTTCAGCGGGCGTCTCCTCTTGCATTAATGTACAGGGCTCTTCGACGGTATCGATCGGGCCCCCATCTGAAGGCCCATTACTGCGAAGGGGGTCTTTGTCTGCTGCGTCCTCGTGCGTTTGGGGCTCTCTTATGGGGGGGCTCGTTGGATTGGGGGGGTCGACAGCTGGCGGCAACGCCAAAGCAGCCTGCTGCATCAACGGGAAGTGGTCGGTACATTCAGAATTTGGAAAACGTATTTGAGAAGATTCGTGCAGAAAACAGGAAGCGATGCTGAATCATGCTTGGTCCCTAGCCCCAGGAGACTTACCCCCGAACATCAAAGCACAAACAAAGTCAAGCATCAAGACCTTTTTTCAACAGCGCCCCTGCTTTGGCGCCGCCACTCCTTCCTCCCGGGTTTGCAACAAGCACGTACTAGATGCACGATGGAAACATCCGACACCTCGTAACAAAGGGCGCACCTTTTCCACTTGCTCCCCCTCGATCTGCTCCTCCACGTCGATCAGCGCCGCTAAAAGGCGCTGTGAGAGCGACACCTTCCCGGCCTTCTGGAGCCAGGCCTCCGCGGCTGGCGGCTCCTCGCAATCTGGGCCCGGAGTCTTAGGGTTGTCATCTAACAGGAACCGCCCCGCCTGGTCCTCGTTCGCCCATAACTGTTCGGACAGCGAAAAATTGGTCGATCAACTCATATGGAGTGTCCCCCTCTTACTATTTTGGACAGAAAAAGTTGGTAGATTGACCATCCAGTATGCGCCCATGAAAGCTCTGGTAGCAGGAAAGCTTGGTTGGTATATTAAATTTAGTATTCGCCCACAAATTTAGTATTCGCCCACCTTTTCTCCTGTTGTTGGACAGGAGAAAAGTTGGTCGCATTTTGTTGATTTGCTGAGTTGCAGAGATTGTCAGCTTCAGTAGATTGTTCAACCTCGGATTGTCCAGCGGCGTATCTTCCTGCTATGCAAAGTTGCACCAGCTCTGGAGCGGCTACTGTCTATGAGATGCTACCGTGCTTCTCATCCGTGTGGGCCAACTTTTGCATGCCCATAGCCCTGTCGAAAGCAAGGAATTCGCTGACCAGTGCGATTGGCACAAAAGAAGATTTGTCTTCTGCGTCTTCAAGACCATCCAAGGCGAGCCTAACTGCGATTATTCTGCTCCAGGAAGGGTGATGACACAGCGTTCAAACCAGGCTCCATCTTTTGGGGGCAGCTTGCAAAGCTTGGCTTCTCATGTCGTGTTGCGGCGTCCGGAATTGCCCACTAGTAACACCGCGTTTGCTGGAATGGAGATAGTGATAAATCCGTCGAGTGGTTCCGTCCTGGTTCCGTCTTGAATCAAGCCATTCCGCCGTTCCGCCTCACCTTCCGGAAGTGCTCGCCGCAGCGCGGCACGCTCAGCACGACGTCACCCTCCTTGAGCTCCCGGAAGTTTTCGCGCAGGAACGCGAGGTCCTCCTCGCGCAGAAACGCAAAGTACGGCTCGACCTCCCGCCAAAAGTCGCTGCTCAGCCGCTCCTGCAGCGTCTGCGGCAGCGTCTCGAATGCGACCACCAGCTCGTTCTCCATCTCCTCGTCCGACTCCGCCTCGGAGTCGTCCTGCAAGTTGCAAACCCAGACATTTAAGGTTGCGGCTTAAAGTGGGCGTAGGCGTCACGCCGTCAGCATCGCCGAAGCGTGACGGCGGGACAAGTTAGCCAAGTGAGCGTCGTCTGATAAATTCAATGCGCTTCCTTGCAGTCCGATTGCAAATGGACTCGCGAGTGCAGAAGCCCGCTTTAACAGACTAAACTGCAAAGCAACACGGGGTGAATGAGGTCGGTTTGCTGACGGGGTCACAAATCGGTTCCGGTCGCATGGGGCAGATCTCAACCATAGAACGCAAAGTCGCGCTGCACCAACTGACAGCGTCTACATGATGCACCCCTACTGTAAACACAGCGTTATGATTAGCGTCGTCTTCAATAATCGTAAGGCGCCGTGAACCAAAACCCCTACCTGCAAACCCCCCACGAACACTTTCTTTGCGGCGCGGTCTGGGCCCTGCCGGGTGGTCCGCTTGCGCTTGCCCCAGCTGTCCAAACCCGATTCCAAACCCCGGTTAAACCCGTCGTGCTCCGTACTGCTCGGTGTCGCGTCGCCGTTCCGGCTGCTCGGTGGCTCGAACGAGTCGGCCGGCCCCGTGTTGAACTGCCGCCCGAGCCGGCTGGACCGACCTCCTCGCTTCACGGTCCCCCCCCGCGCGAAATTCTTTTTCTTCGGCGTCGACTCTCCGGCGCCGCCCTCGTCCTCGCGGATCGCCCCCATGTCGAACCCCGCGTTCCGGTCCAGCATGAACCGGTTCGCAATCGCCGCCATCTCCTTCCGATACTGCGCGCTCCCCCCCTTTTTGTGGCTCTTTTTCAGCACCGAGATGTGTGCCCCGTCGGGCGCCTCGATAACCAGCCCCTCCTTCTCCACCTTCAGCAGCACCCCCCCCTTTGGGCTCTTCCGCCAGTCCCCCCCGGTGGGGGGCGCTTTCGCATTCGCACCCTTCTTCTCCTTGCCCCAGGCAAACGGCTTCTCCGCAGTGTAAATATACTCGTCCCTCAACATCTTCAGCGCCGCGCTGTTTGTCCGCGCGAGCCGCGCCACCTTGTTCGGGTTTTTATACCCGGGGCTTGGCGACGGCGACCGGCTTGCCGCGCGCTTTTTCTCCCCCCCCAGTGGGCTCTTCTTCCGTTCCCCCCCCACCGGCCCACTCGGCGGCGGCTTCTTCACTACCCCCCTGGGAGTTTGCCCCATCTCCTGATTCCTCCCCTCGCTTGTAAACGACTTGAGCCGTATCAAATGGGCCGCGTTCGGCCCCCCGACGCCGGTCCTCGGACCTCGCATGCCCTTCGCCACCCCGCCCTCCCTCTCGAGCGGCCGCTCCTTCCCGGGGGGAAGGAGCTTCTCCTCTCTTTCTACCCCCCCTCTCGGCCACCCCTGCCCCTCGCCGTGAGCCACATACTTGCTGGGCGACTCTGCAAATCGCTTCTTGCTAGGCACCCCCCCGCCCCCGACGCCTTTCTCCAGTCCTTTCAAACCGCCCCCTCCCGGCGAGCTCTTCCCGAGCCACACTTTGCCCACCTTCCCCGTTTTGCTCTCGCCCTTGTTGCCCACCGCCCTCGACGGCTCCTCGTGCCAGCTCACGTCCCCGTTGGCGTCGCTCTTCCGGGTCCGCTTCTTCTTGCTCCGGTTTCCATCCCACTCTAGTTCCCCCGCCTCCTCCGACTCCGTATTGGCTGAGTTCGTCACCCCCCGGGGGGAGTCCCGCCCCGCAGGCGGAGACCCCCAGTTGCCCTTTGCCGGCCGCGCCGCCCCGACGTCAACCAGCGAAGTCCGCAGCTTTTTGGCAGGGCCCGGGGCGGTGCCCCGGCTTGCGTCCCCCCCGCCAAGAGGAGCCCCGCTGCCCGCGTTGCCGCTGCTGAGGCTCCCGCCGCTCGCCCCCGTCTGCTGCATCTCTTTCTTCCTCTTGCGGTTTGCAACCTGGTTTTGCCAGCGATCCAGCTTGTTCAGGCAGCTGGTCAGGACACCGGCCCGCTCCCTGGTGCACAAAAGAAAGGGGTTGTTAGTCGGACCGGGACGGGAAAGAAAATGGTTTAGGGTGCGGCGAGTGCTGTTCCTAAGCTTCAAAAACACGTTCGCTTCCTACAAGACTGCCTCATCCAGTCTTTTGAGCGCACCCACATTCAGAACCCAGGATTGCCCGAGCGAAGAGATCCAGACAACCGTCCTTTGCAATAATCGCAAACCACCCCTCGATACTGTAGTTCCGTTTTGGCCAGCTTGATGCTCCAGCAGCAGAATTCAGGTTGATGTCCAAACAACGGATCTCGTTTCATAGCATTGCGTGATGGTCGCTAATCTGGCCTTGGCCACAGACCTATCCACCCCATTGGCTCCCCCCCTCCTCACCTCGCTTTCAGCTGCACATCGTTCAGCGCCGCAACAAGCCTGGCCGCATCCTCCCCCGTCCACAACGAGGGGGGGGGGCCGCGGGGCAGAATCCTCCCCCTCATTCGGCCGCGCCTCGTCGCCCGCCCTCAGCAGCTCCCGGCTGCGCGGCCACCGCTCATCGCCAATCTCAAATGTCGTAAGATTCAGAATCTGAGCGAGCGGCCGGCTGGGTTCGGTTGGGGGGGGGGCACGAGCCGGGCGCGCGCTCAGGTAGCCCGTTTCCCCCCCCGCCGTGACCACTCGTTCCACTCAGGCTGGGCGTCACGCCGTATGCGGAGCTCCCCCCCCGGGGGGTGAAATCGCCAGAGCTCGGGCCCCCCCACCCATGCCTGGACTGATCCGGAGACCGGAAGCCCGCTGTTCCTCCGGGGTCTGCAACATACGCCCCTCCTTGCGAAGTCATTGCCAGCTGATATTCACGCGGGTCTCCACCTTATCATCGCGCCAAGCTCGGATGCACTGGGTAAAAACCTGCAGGAGCGACAGGGCAATTAGCTCTTCGGACATCTCTCTTGTACTTCCAAAAAGGAGAATGAGGCTGCAAAAAGGTCAAGTCAACCAAACCAAAACTCTTCAAAGAAAAGAGTTCAGTGTTGCACAAGGAAGCGCTTCCAATGTCACCTCTGCTCACCTCTGCCCTCGCCTGAAAGATGAAAACAAATTCGCAATGAATGAGGTTCTTAAAACGTGCCAATCTACGTTCGGTGAGCTCAAAAAAGAACCCGCGTGCTGATGCAGGAGTAGCTAGGACGTTGACAAAATACAAAAACCTGTTGTGTAGACGACAGCCTCTCTGCGAATGCAGGATAATCATAATGAATGGAGACACCTCCCAGAAAAACTGTATCTTCTGCATTCTCAAGACAAATTCCAACAGCCCAAGCGTTCTGTCAAGCGCTGAAGCACATGGAGGCTACCAAAAAAGATAGAGGAAGAAAGTGTGCTCAAGTCTACTATGATGGAAATGTTAAGCACCTGAAACGAGCCCCTGCAGCATATCAATTCTGCCGATGCATGCAAAAGTTAGCAAATACCACCTGGCCCGTCCAGTTTCCAGGCTCGCCTCCTTCTTGTGTATAAGAATCTTTTGGTGCCAGACTACACTGAGTCCCTCTTTTGTTTGCCTGAACTGGCTTGACCGCGAACTATTCTTTTCAAACACTGTGCTTAACCTAACGAGTGTAAGCTGCCAATGACGGCAGGTATGTATCGGGCCAATTCCTAGAATTTCAGCCCCACCAAGTAGCACAGCATTCATATGCCGCGCTTTCAATGCAAAGCTCAGGAGGTAAGGCAACAGCAGTCCAGTTGCAGTAAAAAACTGAACCAATCTCCTGCCGATATGAATGGTATTTCTGAGCCTGTGGGAAATAACAAGCTGGATGGCCACAACCAACATCGTCATCCCCGCCACAGCCTTTCTTGGTCCTTTGCATTACCAACATCAACCGAGTCTGTTGCTGTTGGTATCAAAACCATCATCTGGTCTAATGCCAAGTCATTGCAGGTAGAAATAGATAAGCAAGAAAACTTATGCATGCTGATGCCTCAAAAAAAAGGTGACACCGCCAATTGCAGTCATACAGCTAATTAAATTAAGTGTGATTAGTAGAGGTTCCTATTGTGGTTAATACTCCCCATTGGCTTGAGCTCGTTAAAGTGATTGTAGGAACAAAAGAGTCGTGATCACATACCTTACAATCTTGGCAGTGCACCTTGCAGATTCTTGTCTTGCCAGGTGTGGTACCCTTGGCAATATTTACAACAGCACATGCAAGTGAGCTCAGCTCCGATCACTCAGCAAGAAAAAGTTTGAACATTTAGACTGCACAGGGGTAAACTCCAGGACAACACGTCAGGTGATGCACGCGGCGCAGAGGATGGATCGCCGGTCAACATTAAAGCAACATTTGGGGGATGGATGCTAAGCAGCCTTTTGGAGCTTGCACTCTTACACTACCCTGCTTCTCACTTCTTCATCCGAAGGGATTGGTGTGCTGCGAGTGCAACCCTGTATCGATTGAGAGAAGCCACTGACGAGAACTGCAGCCAAGCTCACCAGCCCACAAGGCAGAACTTGAAGGCAGAAGACAAGATACCTAGGCCCAGGGAGGTACCGTAGATAGGTAGCATGCTCTGGATGAAAGTCTGGCCTGGACTCGAGTCTAATAGACTACCTAGCTAGACCCAAGACTCAGAGAGTCAGAGCCGAGTCCTAGCCTACACACTGGGCAAAAGTTCCTGAGAAGCTCGAACTAGAGAAGGGTACCAACGTACGGTAGCCTGAGACCCGCGGTTAACCGTCCTTCGATTCTGATTGAGGTTAGCAGTGACCCGATTTGCATGAAACTTTTCAAGCACTCCCCTTGGCGCACATGTATGATGTAGCCTTTGTTTACCTGGGCACAGGATGCTTTGAAAGGAGCTGGGCTTCAAAGTTCACACCCAATCTGGGTAGCCCTTCGGATGTGTCCGAAGGCGGCGTCTCTGGTGCACCTTGGTGCTGGAGTTGAAGAGCTCGGGGTGCTTCCGAACAGCATTCGATTTTGAGTAGAGTCACCCTACCGCAATGGAGCCTATCGTAAACCTGTATGAAGATGAGGTAAGTTGAACAACAAAGCAGAGCGCATGGTGATACAATGCTCAGCTTTTGTCCAAGCTTGATTGCCCATAGGCCAGGGCCACTTGCTTGATCAGTGCACCACTCAAGCGTGAAGTCCGAGTCAAGAAAATATTGAGAGACAATTGGTACTCCATCCTCTTGGTTGAAGGAATCTGGGGTCAAGCTAGTGGACGTTCGACTGTTCGTGTGCAGCATTCTGTTGGTGAAAATTGCTCTTACACGGATCCCAATTGTTGGAAGCCCTTCGTAATCTTTCAGCAGATGTTTGCTGGAGGTTGATTGATCAAAGCAGAGATCGCCTGCGCAGGTGTGCCGACATTGATCAGTGCGCCCTACATGAGTTGTGCAATCCCTCAAAGCTGTGTGCTCCATCTTTTTCGTTCCAGGACATAGACGACGCTGAGGTGAGGGAGATAGTGGTGGATTACTTGGTGCACACGTGCTGCAAGGAGACGGCCCAGACGTTGGTGTCAGACGCGGGGCTTCCAGATATCGAAGATCGGATTCTGGACATGGAGACAAGAAAACGTGAGGCAGTCAATTGTCAAATGCAGAGTGCTTCTGACTTACTCCAAGGCTGCGTTAGTCAGGCAGGATTGGTCATGGATGCATCAGGTGCTTCTTGATGAAAGCTTGCCAAGATCTAGCAGTAATCGTCTAGGAAACGGGTCAAGCAAAGTGCTGGCATTTTCACTACTGCAAGGTTATCTGTTGCCTATCGCTGGCAATATGTTGCTCCACGTTCTGCTTGCAAGGAGTAGGTGGCACTTGGAGTACTCACCACCCTTGTTCCTCAGTAAGCGATGTAACAGGAGCGTCTGACAGGTTTGTGAGCAGAATCGGTTTTGTTTGTTGTAACCTTTTGTGCTGATCATGGGATGTTGTTGAGAATCATCGCCTCAAATGACACCTTCTCTCCACAGCAATTTGCGAACACGTCCTTCGGGGGGACGTCTTGAAAGCGATCGAGTTGACCAATAAGGTGGCGGCGCACGTGCTCTCAGAAAACACCGACGTCTACTTTGAGCTCTTGGCGCTCCACTTCATTGGGCTTGTGTCAGCAAAAGACAGGTATGGGTGCATTTGTTCAACTGAAGGAGCATTTGTTCTGTAGGATGCTGCTTCGCAACCTCAAGGCAATTGTGTCCAAGACTCAGATATATAACACCTCGGATGAGAAGCTGTATCAAATTCCTGAGGCCACACCACTTTGTGAACATCCTTGGGTAGCAAAATCCGCTTGTGTTTCTGACGTTATTCTGATTTTGGAGCAAGCTGATTTTGTGACTAAGGACATACTGCAGACGAATTTGATTCAAGTCCTTGCTTTTTGAAAGCTTTTGTTTGATCGGGTTCTCTACCTAAAGCTTCTGTGCTAGGACTGGGAGTCTTTTGCCTGAACTGCGTAGTGGATCTTTGAAAGGATCTTGTGTCTACTGGCGCACTGACTGCAATACTTTGAATTACCCACTTCCATACGGTTTGCACTGAGTATGCCCTGTCACATGACAGACAAACATCTGGACCTGATCATGGATCTGCCGGATTCTCTAATTTGGCCTGCTTGACTTTTTTTAAAATTCAAGCCGTCTGCACTATTATGCTACAAGCTGGTTACGGGCCACTGAAACATAAATTTTTTTGTTTGCTTTCTTCGACCACAAGGCTGGGGAATCACAGTTTGATGTCCTGATTCCTTCATCATAATCTAGCTTCGCAGTCAATCATTGCTTTGCAACGATCAGGTCGGCCAAAAACTTGAATAAGGACTGGAGTTTCGTCTTACAAGTGGACGTAGACCATCAAACCGGCTGCATCTTCCAAGCGAGAAGACGGCACTTTCCCCTTAAGTCAGTGTCGTCACTACGCTTGGACAACCTTGATCCAAGCTGCTCGTACTTCTCAACTTGTGGCCTACTTCTCCATCCACCGATCCTCAGAAGACTTACTTAAGGGAAGGCAACAAACCTCTGAACTGCTCAATGTTGAAATGCTGCCTGCAATCCACCCAAAATTTGGACTCGCAGCTTGGGAGCCCTACACTTCGCTCGAGAGCAGCTGAAGCCGTTTGGGAAGCAGGAGCGGTTTGTGGAGCGACTGCAGGTAGGCTGACTTAGTTGCGGCAACAAGATACTAGGATAGACTTGGGACTTACAGAACGTCAATCCGAGTCGTCTTGTCTTGTCTTGTCTTTGAACGAAAGTGCGGTGGTCACTTTCTGCAATGAGAATGTTGATGGTCAGAGGCGTAGTCCTGTTTTCTTACCCCGCAACAAATTGTACAGTTCTGGTGAATTTGACTGACGAATCACAGGCTTGTCGCGCAAACACCGCAAGTCTGATGAGGGAGCCTCGGAACTCGTGGTGGAGTCGTTACTAATATACTTTGCACCGAGTTGACGCGCGAGCTGGCGAGCTAGCACTCCGCATATACCTCCTTTGCAACCCGCTTCGAAGAGACATTCCGAAATGTAGCCCGGTTCACCTTTCAGGCTTGGAACTAAATAAGATCCCTACCTCGACGCGGGTGGAGGCGCTTGGAATTTTGGCACCCTGTCGATCGCAAGGACTTGGCGGCTGATCGTAGCAGCTCCCTTGCTCACTCTTACAAAGGACTTGGACCTTGACAATTTGTTCTTTTGATCGCAGGACTGCATGGCGCTATTAGCGTACGAGGAACCTGAAAAGTCGCCCATGTTTGACCTGCTCGAAGACGTGTACCGGGAACGGGTGGCAGAGCTGCTCAACGGCGCTCTTTTGGGTGAGGCCTTCAAACCTAAATCCAAACGCGTAGCCCTCAGACCCTGTGTTTTCAATCTCAGAACGCTAGTTCCTGAAAGTCGGTGCGTTACTTCCCGCGTGGAGGATTGGCGCTCGAAGTGAGGGCTTCGATTGCTCTAACAACCCACTTCCAGTCCCAGTGCAAACAAATTTGTGAGATTCTATCTGTCGTCTGGGCTTCTACGACGGGGTTCGTCTCGACGTTCGACCGCCCACAATGTAGCCTTGGTCTGGACCCCCTTGCACCAGCCATGCTTTTCATGACCAGGGTCGTCCTGCAAATTGCGGAGAACGCTTCGTTTAAGTAAGAAGGCCTTGTCAGAGGTGTTGAAAAGCGGTGCGAATGCAAGATTCTGACCTCGAACGGAGTCCAGGTTGTCGAGATGTGGCTCAGAAACAATCACATGGTAACGTCGCTCAAGATCTGTCCGTGTCAGTTGCTGGTTCCTTTTTACTCCTTGCTGACAACAAACACGGCAAGCGGGAAACGTAGCTGGGCTGACAAGGGGAGCCCTTTGCACAGAGGCACCCTTACGCTTTCGATCGGACGTTGACAGCGTGACGTGGACTCGCTGGTTTGCAGCGCACTGGCCCATGCCCTCCCAGGTGTCAGACGAGCAGCTCATACGGCAATAAGCGGGCATTGATGAACTCATACGCTATTGGACGTAACGTTGATTCCCTGGATTGCAGCGCACTGGCACGTGCCGACCCAGGCGTCTGTCGAGAAGCTCAGACTAATATGCGGGCGTTGATGATCTCATACGGTGCTGAACGTAACGTTGATTATCGGACTTGCAGCGCTGGTACATGCCCGCCCAAGCGTCGGTCGAGTAGCTCATACGTTGTTGATCGGACGTCAATAAGCTTTCGGACGTCAATAAGCTCATACGCTTTGGATGGAAGCTAGTAAGCCTGTTAATCTCATGGTTTGCAGCGCACTGACACATGCCCGCCCAAGCGTCGGTCGAGAAGCTTATACCGGTACGCCAAAACCCGGGCGTTAATGAACCCATACGCTATTGAACGTAACGTTGATTCCCTGATTTGCAGCGCACTGGCACATGCCGGCCCAGGCGTCGGTCGAGAAGCTCATACGGCAGGCGGTCGTCGTGCGAAAGGTCATGCACCAAGAGAGAGTGCGGGTGAGTTCCCCGTTGCTCCCGTCAAATTGGTTTTGATAAAGAAGACGGACTTCCGGTCAATTTGTTTGGAAGCTTCTGCTATAACCACGACTCGACGGTCTACTGAGGAGCTCGAATCAACCTGAACTGGTTGTGGCTGAGAACGGTACTCTTGAAGACAGGTAGAGAGTCCGCGTTCTCTATTCTCCCTGCTTTCAGCATTAGTACATTCCCTAGCCCTTGAAGGGCCGGCTAAAGCTCTCATCTGAGGTTGTCAAATGCAACATCGGGTTTTCGAAGGACCGTATTCCTGTCTACGAGACCGAATGGTCTTAGACCCAAAAGCTAGAGGATGAGAACGACCTCAAAACAATTTTAAATCGTCATCTGTAACGCTTGGTACTGGGCGGTTCTTGCTCTTGCCTTTGCATAGGGAATAACAAGCACGGCTGTTCGCCTCGATGTCGAAGTGCCACGCCCTGGAACCGCCACCACCAGAGGGGAACTCTCTCAAAGCTTTCTGCGGAGATGACCTACTAAGATCATGGGTTGTATCAGATTTCTTTGGAAAGCAATTGGGGCCCAACAAGACTCTAGAAGTGTCTTTTGGCTACATCTTATTCTGGAAGAGTATCAACTTAAAGCTAAAGCGAACCTCGAAGCCCCTTCCTGCAGGAACACGTGCCCCCGTTCTCTCTTTCGGACTTCATCAACCGGAAGTCAGTCCCGCGCTGATGCCAGCTAGGGCCAATACCACAGTAGGAAACAATCATGTTGACCTGATTGATGTACAGTTACCAAAGTAAAGCTGGTATCACCAGTGCGTCGCACGCCTCATAGATCATTGCATAGGCCGAAACATGCAGGTTAATTCTAGAACGGTGCGAAGTCCCAATGGGCGGTGACTCTACCTTACAGTACAGGCAGTCCCCCAAAAGTACCAACACCCCTAGGCTAGACTGAGCACGAATAGGAGCTCGTAGATTAATCTCATATCGTGCAACAAGCTCGCAGTGTCCAACTGCATGACCTGATGGTGCTTTCGAGAAGCCGAAGGGTGCACGGTCAAGCATGTGCTCAGAGCAGTATGCGTTGCCAGGACTCTGTGGCACCGCTAGGCATACTTTCGACAGATTGGCAACCGGCCCTGCATCCATGAGGCTAGCACTGAGGCCAGCCGGCCGGCAATTGAACGCGGACGCCGGCGCGGTTGCAGCTACACTCCGATCAGTCTGCGATCAGTGCCGCGTCGGATCCATCCGATCCGATTGCTGGCAGGCCACGATCCGCAACTATCGGTTACGGCAGTGCACATGAATCTACAGTGCATGCATTGGCACTCGTGTGACGTGAGACTAGATAGTGACGGGTCACTAGGTAGTTGGCAATCATATATGCACGAAAAGTGAGTTCTTTGCAAAGGAGTCCATACAGCGCGCTGATCGAGGGTTGGTCGGACAATGATTGACAAGTTAGGCTTGAATTGCGAGAATTCGACCGTGAATGATGCGGCTTTTTGCCGCTTGATATACAGGTGCAGAAGGGTGCACTAACCCGATCCTAGATACAATTGCCAGTCGACGTCAACCCCTCCGGCCCTTCATGGACCCCTGCCTCGAGCTACAGACCCTCTGTTCTTGAGAACCGGACCTCGACGTACTGTACATCTCAAGTCATGTGGCCGACTCTGTTTCAGCTCGCGCCTCACTATTCTCTCGCTGTACAAACACACGTCGTAGCTTTCTAGAAGTACCACCAGCATCCTAACTTTATCTCATTGCCTTCAATCTTTCAGTCGCGAAAGGGGACAAGCATTTGCTGACTGCCAGCCCGCTTCTATGACCAGAGACATCGAGCTAGCCAGAAAAGGCGTCAAATCCGCGCTTTTGGCGCAGATGATTATATTCCCTGCTTTATCCAGGTTTTACGCCCCTCTAACTTCTGAACCAAAGGAGCAGGTCTGACTTCATGAACGTCCTGCAGAGAAAGCGACTCGCTTTTCCGTGCGTATTCAGTGTTTCAAATTGATGAAAAGCCTCCAGATACTTCGGGGATATTGAGCAACTTAAGAACCAATTTTGGAGGGTTGGAAACTAGAACGAGGAGAACTTTGTCCTGACTGTCCGCCTCGGAGCACAGCGACAATCAGTCAAACGTCCTGTCACGTAATACGTCCCCGTTTCAGCCGAAAAGACAAAAACATACAATTGCACAAACAGAAGCGGGGCGCCCACCGTTGTATTAGCAATAAGAAATTGCTGGCTTGCTCAGAACAGTTCTCATCGTTTGGTCAACGCGCCAAGGACCTACCAACGGTTGCATCAGACGCAACTTGCGCTTTAACCAATCCATCGGACGAAAGTGAAGGGGCGTCAGTCGCGGTAATTCTCAGCAGCTCAAGCGGTCACAAGTGCCAAATCTGTCAACTCAGTACCCAATGAAACAACCGCCAAGCTCCGAAAGTTTGTCTGACTGGGCTGGTAATCGACCTTGCGACAAGCTCAAAAGGAATTGGCTGAGGCTAAAAGCAGCCCAATCGTGCAAGCTATCGCAAAAAATCCGATTTCTTTACAGTGCCAGTAATCCAGACGTGCACGTCTTCGTCTTCCATTAGTTTCAAAAGGCCGCAAAAATACGAGTTTCCAGGGAAGGTAAGGGAGGCCTGAACTTCCTACAAAAATAAGAGCTTCCAAGGAAAGTAATACGGGCCTAAATGTCATTGCATTGTATCCAGTCCGAGTTCTGGGACTGCAGGCTTTCAGAAAGCAAACCGCCGTGATCCATGCCTTCCGGACTCCCTTACCTGTTTATCCACCGCTACTAGTCCGCTCTCTGCGCCGGTCCCCCAGCTGATGCCCCGTTCCGTTCCGGGTGTCAAAGTTTTCCGCCCCCGCCATTCCGGTTACAGTCCTCTCCCTTGGCTCCCCCAGCCAGTCCGCGAGCGCTTCCGCGCGCGCCACCCGCGCCGCCTCCTCGCGCGCCGCCCGCGCCGCGGCCGCGGCCGCGGCTTCGACCCACAATGGGTCCAGGCCTTTGACCCTCTTGTCAACGAGCCGATCGAAACTCTCACCGGAATCCGGTCCCTCCTTCCACTCGTCACTCTCCTCCGTCTTCTGCTTCAGATCCGGGCCTTTGAACTCCGCTGACGCATTTGCTCGCGTCAGCATGGTCCTATCGTCCTCCAAACGAAACTGCCGTTTGTGGGTCTCGCCGCCTGTTTCCTGTAACCCCTTCTCTCCACGTCCCGATTCCCCCTCCCCAGGTTTCACCTCCAGAACGCGTTGAATCTTCTCCATAACACGGAGGATTGTGTCGGCGCTTAAAGCCGCCCTTAACCCCTGCCGAACCGCAGCTCCAAAATCCTCTAGCCCCTCTTCGGAGTCCTCCCGCGCCATCTCGACAGCAGCCCACAACAGATTCCGCTCTCCTTTTCCGGTGTCACGCTCTGCTTCCGGTTCCGGCTCCAGTTCCGCTCCCCTCCCCTCCTTTTTGAGCCGCTCCGTTGAACCCTGTGCATCGCGTCCCACGCCTCCCGGACGGTGAAAACCGCTTGCGCTCGCCAAATCTCGCTTCTCAGAAAATTCGAAAGACGGGTTCCTTTTTCTGCTCCGCCTGCTGTTGGTGTCGCTCTCTGAGCCTCCCGATGCATTACCAGAATTCCTTGCTGTCCCTTCCGTTTGCATCTCCTGGACGCTTCCATCTACCTTTTGGCTCTGAGCTTCGCGATTCGTAGCCACTCGCTTCTTGGACTCCCTGCCTGACTGTTTTGCATCCAAACCCCCCAAACCCTCCACATTCGCGGCCGCGACGGCGATCTCCGCCGCGCGCACCACGAACGGCGCTTCCGCCGCCACCCGCAAAGCTTCCGCCACGGCTTCACTTTCCGCCGCCGGAACTTCCACATCTGTGTCACTCTGCTTGTGCCACGTGTCGCCCTCTCCTTCCGCCGCACTGGCCTCTTTACTCCCCTCTGCCTTCCTTTCCGCTTCCGCTCCCATACCGTCGCTTTCACTACCGGCATGATTCTCTCTCCCTCTCTCCACAGCTTCCGTTTCTCCGGACCGCCGTCCACGTGTTCCCCGGTCGCTTGCCCCGGCCCCTTTTCCCGCATTTCCCGCCGCATCCTGCAAAACCAGATCTCCGAGCATCTTTCGGGTGTTCATAAGCGCTCTCACGCTTCCCGCGTACGCCTCGCGGTCCGCGTTCAGATCCCTCTTCTTGTCCTCCAAATCTTGGACGTCCGCATGGACAGCCGAAGCCGCGGCCGCGAACGCGGACGTCGCGGCGCGCAGCGCGGCCGCGCCCGCGTCCGCCTGTAGCACCGCATCGTTGTACGCCTCCACCGCGCGTGACGTGGCGCGGTCGCCGACTGACGTCAGCTTACCGACCAGTTCCTCGAAGGAGACTGCTCCGCTCACCCCCCTAGCTCCTGCGGACGGGACCTCGGCTCTGCGACCCGTTCTGGCGTCTCTAGCCTCGTCAATTGCTTCTCCGATTGTATCCACATATCGCCTCGCCGAAGAAAATAGTTCACCGATTCTTTCCAGACCCAGCTCCCCGTTGTCAGCTTCGCGGGTCCGGCGTTCCGCCAACTGACTGCCGGAATCCGCGCCCCTCTTATCCCGATTATGCCCGGCGTCTTTAACGCTCCTCTTTTGCCCAGCTTTCTCAAAGAACTTGTAGAGCTTGTTGGAGCACCTCGGATCTGGGCGAACATTACTGTCTGACCCCCTTTTCGTCTCGTCGTTCCCTTCCCCCGTCTCCACATGTCTAGCCCGCTTCGACACAGGTTCTTTCGCGTCCTTCGTTGGCGGAGGCGTTCCGCCAGGCCCCTCCCTTCCGCCGGATCCGTTCCGTTTCAGCCCGACTCCCTCCAGCACCGAGTGCCCCGGAATGCGCGTCTTCTCCACCACTGACGCATCGAGTGACGTCAGCGTCCTCTCCAAGGTGCTCCCGAAAACGTTCAGCTTGAAGAGCTCCTTCGCGCCGTCTCCCCCGAAGAACCTCTCGTATGACTGTAACAAGCTGCCTGCCCCGCTCACGGGCGTTACGTGCCCCGGGCACACTTCCAGGCAGGCACGTGCCCACGTGTCCAGATCATCGCTTATACTCCCCCCTTTTTTGGCTCCCGCACTTAATGGGCGGTCCCTAATTCGGACGCCCCGGTACCCAGCCCGCGGCCCGCCCATGTACGACTTCCGTACGTCCGGAGATGACGTCAGCAGCGCTCTCGAGACGATCTTCTCCGGTCGCTTGCCGCCACGTGGCACCATTCCGCGCTCCTTGCAGAAGGCCTCGTACGAGTGGGAGAGGTCGGGAAGGGGCGCAGCGCGGTAGGGGCTGAAAACGACGTCCGAATCGATCCAGTCTTGGACGTCCGCAGGAATGGTCTGGTCTGGGGCTTGAGTATCGAAACCTGCAAGCCGGGGAGATAGATCAGAAGTTGCTAGCTGGGCTGGTTGACGGTTATCAACGACCTCTTAAAATCTGAGATGATGCATCCACTTATTCAAAGGAGTGTGACTGGCTCGCTGACCCTAAAGTCATCGCTAACTTGGTTTGTGGAAACAGCTTTTGACCTACTGTATAGAAAACCAGATTCCACTGTATGACAGTTTTCCGCAACTTCACAGTCATCTCTCATGCAGTCCATACCAATAATCGTTGAACGAGCCAAAGCTCGATCCGTAGTCTGTCCTGAGCTCCGTCCAAGGGCTCACAACCCGTACAAATTAACACCACACGGAACTGATTGCTACAGTTCAACTTTTAAACCCTACTCATCAGGCTCTTCTTCTAAGATCTTGAACAGATCCGAATGAACAGCGAAAGCTAAGAAGGAAACAAGTCGTCGCTCTCACCGCTCTTGTTAGCCGACTCCGTGCTGGGTGCCGTCTGCTCGCCAGCTGTCTCCGTTCCGGCCGTTCCGGGCACCATCCCTGGTGTTTCTGCTCCGCTCCACGGTTCTGGAACGATCCTCCCCTCACTTCCTTCTTCCGTGCCATGTTTCGTTTGCTCGCCGTCGTCTGCAACAAGTCCCCGCATCCGCTCCGGTTCCGTTGCTGAACTTTCACCGGAGTCGACATTCTGCAGACTCTCTGCGCCCTCTAGCGCTTCCTCATTTCCGTTTGTCCTCATTCCGCTTCCCGCTCTGTCTCTGCCCCCTTCCGCTGAATCGCTTCTCCCCTTGCCCGGAGCGACTGTCATCCCCCCTCCCTCACTCGTTTCTGAGCTCACTTCGTCAATCGCTACCACTCTCAACCCTTTCCCAAAGCTTTCGGGTTCCCTTTCCGCGTCACTCGCGGCAGAAACCGACGGATGGAGCCCGGGATGACCGCCCATCCGTTCCTCTGCGGCCGCCGTGCCCTGGCTTTCCCCGGCCTCCGGAAAAGATTCACCCCGCTCTAGTAAACTGCTCTCGCCTGTAGTAAGTTCTGCAGACGTACCCGTGTCCGGTTCCGCCCAGCTTTCAAGCGGACCACCCCGGAACCCTGATGCATCAGTCCCCTCCTCCGACCGGGGTGCTTTGCTTTTGACCGTGGGCTTCTCTCGCCCGGCCGTCAAGAACTCCTCCGTTGAATCGTTTCTTCCAAGAAGTTGACTCTCGCTCCTTTGACGGGCCTCGTCGTTGGAGGGCTGCTCGTCCGCCGAGTCTGCTTCCACAGGTCCAGCTCCACATTTCGCTTCGTGGGTCGTCAACAATGCAACGGATGGAACTAGAGGGGGCAGCACCTCTGAGGACAAGGCGTGTTCCGCGTCCGAGTCACTCCTGCTTTCCTTGGTGTGAGAGAATTCCTCTGCGTGTGTAGCTTGGCTTTTGGAGGATTTCTTGCCCACGACGCTTTCGGAATAAGAGCCGCCGCTCCGCTCGTTTTCCTGCAGACCATGCACAGACACAGTCTGGTAAGGGGAGGGATCTATGTTGACGGCGTTTTGTGGACCTAGTTCTTCTCAAGTTTGCTGTCAAGAACTCATTGGGCCCAGTAAGCTCAAATTTTGTCACCTGTGTTCTTCTGAAAGGACTCAAGCACCAGTGTGTTCTTTCGGAGGGATGGGCGTGCAGACAGACAAGCTGCAGCATATCTAATCACGAACCTTTTCCCCCGGTCATTGACGTGATATGTGGAAGCCCAGGTTATATTATCTTCCAAAAATCAACTCAGACTTGGATCATCCACACATTATCAAGCAGCTTAGGAACCCCCCCAAACCACTTCCGGTACTGTCTTGGGGAAAACCCAATAGCCTAAATTGGTTCTATGCGATGCCAGAGCATCATTCAGGGTCAAATCAGATGAGTGCATGAGCAAATTTGGTGTTTGAGAACGCAGCCCACCTACCCTTTCAAACGCAGCACGCACCGGAATGGTGGCTCTTCCGCAAGGCCTCAGCCAGACCCCCCTCGCGTGCCCCCGCCGGTCTCCAGTTCCCTTCCCAGAGGAACCCAAAGCCAGCAAAGTTGATTGGACCCATCCCACTCCCTTGTCAAAAGAGAATGTTTGTCCCGGCCATGCATGGGTGCCGCCTCTGGTAGCAGCATTGCAGTTGTGAGACACATAGAGATCGCTCGGCCCGGGACCAGCCCCCGCTGATGAGCTGGCGGTGCGCCTCAAGGGTGTGTTGGTATAAGCTGAGCTGAAGCTCGGGGCATATCCTCTTGGACTTCCTAAAGCGAATGCCATCAGGACACGACGCGGAGGGGCCAATTGGGCTTCTCTTGTCAATTTCTAGATTGAAACTCTATGGGGGCAAATGCTGAGGCGCAAATGCTGACCAACTTTCATAGCGCCCCAAGAGGGTGTCCCAAATGCAGAACTTTCCTCATAGCCTGGTTGGCAGCAGTCCACTTGGGAAAGTTTTTTAGGGAGGTTGATGCACTAGTACAGATGTGGTAACGCGCTTACAATTACACCAGAGATGCTCTGAGAAGAGATACGGTTGGACGCCACCATTGCATTGTTCCTTGGCGTTCAGCATTTCAGCTGAAGCAAATCAAGCTAAAGCAATCCTCGTACAAGCTCGCGCATGCGGCCAGGGACGCAAAATCTGGTTACCAAACAGCAGGAATGTAGAGGACCTTGCGCGGCGAGGGTCCATGCACAATCTGTGACGCACCCTTTGGGCCGGCAGCTGACATGTGCGGGGTGCTTGGTAACTGCCAACAGCGCTCCTTGAATGCTATATCGTCAATCTGAAGATTCTTTTCAGCCAAAGCCGCAGCTGCCTGGGCCAGAGCATACCACCGGGCCAGAGCATGGGAATTCCCGGGAGCTTGATACCTAAGGAATGCGGGCCTGCCACA